TCAATTTTTGTTCAATACATGTTTTATACAGTATATGACTAAAATAAAAAAAAAAAAAAAAAAAAAAACTGAAAGTACGTTTTTTTAATTATTAGTATAATCTTACCTTAACATATGGACACTCGAATTCCGAAATTAAAGAACCGTCCCTTGAAAAGACAGCTACATGGAATCGATTACCATGTGAATCTCCAATCAAAACATCCCCAGCATCACTAATATCAATCCCATTTGGAAAGTTTGTTATATTCTCGCAGCCAATACGACGCAAGAATTTTCCATCCTCGTTAAATACAACAACACAATGACCTTTGAAATCGCAAACAAAATATTCTTTTCCTATAAAAGATGTAACGAGATATTAATTAAATGTTAAAACACGCATTATTTTATCTTTACATAATAAAAAATTATATTTGTAATAGTGCATTTACCACTAATAGCAATATCACTTGGTTCTCTCATGTAATCGCTACAATCGAACCACCTAAGGAGGGCACCTGTATCACTGATGACAAATACAGTCGGTGATACACTATCGACTGCTACAATCTGACCTTGACCCGTAACAGCTAAACCAGCTACAATGTCGATGTAACGAATGGCAATCTTTTTTATAAAATGGCCGTTTTTAGTAAATATTTGCATCCTAGATCTTTCATTTCCACGGTCGCATACAACAAATTTTCCACTATTTCGCATAACTGCTACTTTTCTTGGATACCACAACTGACCTTCTTCTTTACCAGGGACACCAAATTGAAATTTGAATGTACCAGTCTTCTCAAAAATCTATCATTTGAAAATGAATACACACAATGTCATTTTACATTATAAATAATATCTAACTTTATATTCTTCTTTATATACCTGTATCCTGTGATTATTAGTGTCCGCAACTATAATATCTTCGTCTGTACCCAAACAAAATCCATGAGGTGAATTAAATTGTCCTTTACTAGGACCTAACTGGCCAAATTTACTTCGAATTTGCATTGGAGTTAATTTTGCATTATTAGAACGTGGATGTGCATAGTTTCCATTTCCTGCACCAGTTACATTGGCAACTGGATTACCTACTACCACAGGCATATTATGCATTGTATCACCTATAAGATCATCTGAAATACAAATATACATATATATATAGATATATAGATAGATGTAAATATTATATAAATTATAATCGTTATAACGAAACATGTTAACATTATGTTATGTTTATCACAGAGAAATAAAAATTAATTTAAATTACCAGCACCCTGTGAGAGTATAGGAGATGTGGAGGATGAAAGTGATTGAAAACCACCATTTAAAAGACTGTTGGCAGTTAAAGTGCTCAAGTTAGGCGCATCAATAATACCAGGGGAAGGCCCACGTCCTAATACCAAACCTCCACTACCATTAATTGCTGCATTTCCTAAATCTGTAGACATTTAAATTTAATATAATACAATTTATTAGAAAAATATGTTTATATAAGGAAATTATTAATGATAAATAATAGAAGTTATTATTCTTTCCTCACCTTGATTGGCAAGAGTATTTCCTAATTTTGCAAGAGCTTGCAAATTATTAATGGCATGATTCGTAGAGTTTAAATCTCCAGCAAATAAATCTGCTAGTGCGAAGGAAGGAGTGGGGCTTGAATTAGAGCTAGGTCCAATTACACCAGTATCACTAACAATTTCTACCTTTTCAGCTAAACTAGCTAATTGTTGTAAATTATATTCTTGAATACTGGTCAAACCATGAATAGGGCCTGGTGGAAGAGAAACAGGTGGTGGTGGTGGTGGAATATTTTGAGGACTAGACGTAGGTGGAATAACAAACGAAGGTTCACCTTCAAACGAGGATTGCATAGAGGCAGGAAGTGAAATAGGAGAACTTGTACTAATCGTACTGGGACAACTTATTGAAGTATGAACGATTTGTTGAGTAGAGGAAACACCTGGCATGCTTGATTTTATTTCTGGAAGAATTTTTGTTATTGGTGTACTCTCTGTATGAAATTTACCAAACACCTCCTGGAGAAAAAAAAAAAAAGAAAAGAAAAAAACAAAAAACAAAAAAAATATATTATCTTTACGTTAGAATAAAGACATGAAATATATAATAACTTTTCAAGTACCTTTACAGTTTTTTCAAATTGACTATAATCTGTCTGGAACTCTATACAAAATGTTATGTTAGGACTCGGGGTATTTTTTATTAAATGTAATAATTGCGCCCCTACTATACGGCGAAGAGCTAATATTTCCACGGTATCTCCATGTTCCAAAAGCCTAGATGTAAAGCGGCAAGCATCATCTATTTTTTCTGCAGTTTTTGCAACGCTATCAAAAACAGATTTTCTAAAATACACAGATACAAACTTCGTATTTTTGATTGATTTAAAATAAATATAATTAAACCTACTTATGGAAGGTATCCATTATTTCAAGCTCTCTCTCTGAGTGTAGTTTTTCAAGTTCCTCTAAAGCATTGTCTCGATATTTCTCTAATATAGCTTTGTAACTTTGGAAAGTTTCTATTATTAAATCCTTTGCTTGATCACGTTGCATTTGCAATTCACTAAGTGCATTTTCTAACTGCGTTGTAACTTGATCGCAATCCTTAATTTTTGCTTTACTTTCAGACATTAAACTCAATAATTCTTCCTTCTCGCGTGGTTCTGCATCAGCTAATCTCTCATAATGATGATCTGGTGCTTTGTGCTCAACAAGAAGACATTCATTACAGATGGGTTCCTATTAAAAAATGAAATAACTTGAATGATAATAATTCTATCATTATTTGAATAGAAAAATTGTATCAAAAGTGTGTATGTGTATATATATATATATATATATATATATGTGTGTGTGTGTGTGTGTGTGTTTTAGAAATAGGAAAACTCATTTACCTGACACGTATAGCAATAAAATTTCATATTTTCGGCAGGATGATATTCACAAAAAATAGGTTTATGTATTGGAATAGTTTCATTTGATTTCTTCAAATCCTCAAATGCAATGACTTTATGACTTTCAAAGCAGCGCATGAATTGATGTGCCGTATTACAATTCGGACAGAGAAAATTGGCACAATCTGAGCAACGTGCGACTGCATTTTCTTTAGCCTTGCAAGAGGTACAGAGCACTGCCATATTTTCAATCGCAAACATGTCAAGTATATTAGTTAGTACATAATCACAAGTGAGAGATGCGGCGCCTTTAGAACTAACGGAAGTTTCTTGATGGCATAAGGGACACTCTAGTATAGATTCCACCTTTGAATCTCCAGCTCCGTCCATAAGAAGCTTATCCAAACAACCTTCGCAAAATACATGGAGACAAGATAGTACCCGTGGTGAGCACAATTTGCTCATGCACAAAGTGCATTGTTGATCTCCTATTTTGCCATTATTACAGGTTATCTCTTCGAGTGCATCACCAGAACTGCTACTATTGTTATAACCTGTAACGGTATTAACACTACGTTCACCGAATAAATCCCCACTATCGAGTTCTTCTTTTCCAGTAATACCAGCAGTGGCTGGTACCGAAGCTGTTCCCGAGGGAACAGCTATCGTGGATGATGCCATCCTATACTTCGTCGAACTTTTAATGTTATCTATTGTTCTTTCGATTTTCTTTTTAATCGTTCGCTCAGACGATTTATATCTCATAAAGCAAGTAAATAATTCACGAGTTTCTTTATATATTCTTTTGTTAACAAGTTTTGGGCGTTTAAAATCGTTTAACGTTACGACCCTTTTTTTAAGATTTTCTTAAACGTTATATAGTAGAGCTACAAAAATAGTATCGCAAAATCTAAATCATAAGATGTAATTTCTGAAATATTCCGTCATCGATCGGCAAAAACAAAACACTTCGTCGCCATAGGCGTCACGATGACATAAACAACGTAAGCTGCACCGGAGACTCAACCGTAGTGCGCACTGAAAAAATCGAATAACGTCCGTGCTGATGTGTGCGGATAACGATTTCTTGTCAATAATTTTTGGTCCACGATCACCCAAATTTTTCGTCGATGTTATTTTTAATAAGAAATATTTAAATACTCTAAGAGACACGCCCCTTGAATTTCTCTAATTTATCCTTATTATTTATACTATACACCTTTACACTTCACTCATTCACTTTATGATACCCAGTATAGAGCATATTATCTCGTGTCAAGTTTTCAATAGATTCAACTTATTAGAGCGTCACGTATCAAGAATACATATAAACATTATTGAATATAACGTTTTACACTTCCTTATCTTCCACGCCAATTATTATATTTTCCAAAGTTATATATGATTAAAGCGTAAATATTTCCAACTATTTTATACGTGGAACAAACGAACAAATCATTCGAACCGAGAGGAGATCACCTCCTGAGTGTAGGAGGACTAGAAATAATTGATACGTTGATGGGAAACTCCTACCAAATCATTCCTTTAACGTTACTTCGTCATTTTTTACAAAGTAATATTCTCATTGGCTGAAGTACAAATACTCGACCAATCAAAATAGAGTATATATCGAATAGACAATAAGGCGAATTCTTTTCGTCCAATCACGTTCGAAAGATGTTTTAATCAAATGTAGTTATGTGTAGTTATGTGTTTATTGATGCGTATGTCAACGTTTAAAAAAAATTGCGATTTACGTTTTTTAATAGATACACGTTCTCTAATCTTTATAAATTATTCAACTTATAATTTTCAATCTTATTAGTAATAAGCCATACATCAATATAAAGAAAAATCAATGATTAAATTACATAATTTTTTCTCTTCGCGTTAATTCTATTTAAAAAATTATCCAAACCACTCTCTATTGTATTGTTCCATTTTAAACCCATCGCGGTATTTTTCAAAAGAGAAATCATATTATTAAATATGATTTATATAAGATTAAAAGTATCCTTAAGAAAATGTTCCGATTTAAAGTTAAATAATAATTATCATATACTTAACCTATTGTATATATAATAAATAAATCCCATTTGTAAGCTAATAACATATTTGTTTTTATTAAGGATTTACGATCAAAAAGTGTATTTATGTTGTATATTCTAAAATATCTCTATCATTTTATTTCTTATCTATACTATATAGTAATTGTTTTAACGATTCTTCATTTATTGTTTCAAAAGAACACCTGATACTATCGACGGCGTTATATGTTTCTTCTACATCTGTATGAATTATATTTTCATTTATATTTTCCGAAGGATGTCTAAAATTACTGAATAGTGGTTGTGAAATATTTTTTGATATAGGAGAAGAAAGTCTCAAATGTTCCATTTCAGATGTAGGTGATGACAAATTATTTTCTAATGGTGACATTACTAATGAGAAAAAATCTGTAGTATCTTGTACATTGTTTCTGTTATCTGACAATAATTTATCAGAATGATTTGTAGAATTTTTTGAATTGAGATTTTTGGAGTTGTCAGAATTCCATATATCTTCGTTTGAATTTTTATTTGTATCTTTTGTTTTTGCAAAATTTGCTTCCTGTTCGTTTTCAAGATCTGATTCTCTTGTTAACACAGTTTGACCTTGAGCATTTATTATAAGAACAAATTTATTATCCTTATCGTTAATACCGTTTAATATTTGTTTTATTTGTTGCGAAGAATTAGTTTCTTGTGAATGATTTGCCTCATTGCAATTTTCTTGCATAATCGATGTCACAGCTGATGATTGAACTATTTCATTTGATTGCTGTTGAGCAGTGAATTGTTGTACTGGGCATTTATGTGTTCGTTGACTTACCTAAATAATTTTAATTATACACAAATATTATTTATATTAATCAAATGTTTAAAATTTTATTTTACATTACTTACTTTATATCTAAAACTTTTTCCACACATTGTGCATGTGTATGGCATAACGCCTGTGTGAATTCTACGGTGTACTAGGTAAGACACGCGTTGTCGAAAACATTTTCCTATAAAAAAAAATATAATTGTATAATCTAAAATTAACGTCTAGTTTAAAATCAATAATATAGTATTATACAAAATATCATATAAAGTAACAGAAACAGAAATTTACAGAAACTTTACCTTAATTTGTTAACTCATGCATCACACTGTAATGTTATAGGTACAATGTGAATAAAATGACCCATATTAGATTGTTAGTAAAAACTGTAAATAGTAAAGCACATTATATTTATAATCGATTATAAATTTTATAAAAAGTACATATTATTTAAAACAGGCAATACACTATTATATTTATCAAATATATTTACCACAAGTTTCACATGCAAAAGGTTTCTCCCCTGTATGAATTCGTTCATGATTGTGCAATGTAGAGAGTTCTTTAAATGATCTACCACAAGTAGTGCACATATGTGGTTTGTCATCTTTATGATACAATCTGTGTTTGTGATATGATTGTTGAAAAGTAAATGTCTTATCACAAATATTACATTTATATGGCATTTCTCCTGAATGTAATCTTTTATGCTTTTTCAAAAAATACTTTGTTGTGAACATTTTACTACAGACATCACATTCCCATTGTTTGCCTTCGTGTGTTTTCAAATGTTGTATAACATGCTGTTCCTATTTTATTAATACAAATATATTTTCATATCTTATTTTTTATAATTTTCTTTTTCAATAATTAAACTTACTTTTTTAAAATTTTTCCCACAAGTAGGACAATTATATCCATTATTATTAATTCCCATTGGTGCATCTCCATCTTTTGATAAAAAACCTATATAACATTATGATAAGCAATTTTTAATACATAGAAGAAAAACTTAATATTAAATAATGTTTACCCCAATTGTGACCAATATGTGCTACTCTCATATGTATCATTAAACTGCCACGCATTTTGAAAACTTTAGAACACAAATGGCAAGAATAACTTTTTAATAAGTTCTCAGATGTAACATTACTATTTTGTTCATCGACCATATGAATTAATTGTTTATGCAAAACAAGTATGTTATGATCTGGAAAGTGGAAGCCACATATATTACATCTTTCAGTCTTTTCCTTTAAAATCTTAAGATTTGATATTATTTTTTCACCATTTACATTCTGATCTGATTTTACTTCGACGATTGAATGAGTTAAGGTTTTTTTATGATCATCTAAGTTTTGTTTATTATTTATTTCTGATGGTAAAACATTAACATTTTCCGACATTGTCATAACATGTGGAAAACTGATGATCAAATTATTTTTTAAATTATATTGATCATTATTGATTTCTGTTTGCTTTAAGATAATCTCTTGAGTTTTACCAGGGCATAATGATAATTCTTTTTTTATTGTGGAATGTTGATTAGACACTTGTGATAAATTTTCTATCCAAATACCTTCTAGTTTGTTCATTTCTCTTAGTTGTGAATTTTCCTCTTGTGTATTACTATTTTTGTAGCAATCTTCCAAACAATTTGTTTTCGATAACTCGCTTATCACTTCTGACGTATCATCCTGTGATTCTAAAAACAATCTACTATTTTGTTTATTATACAAACATTCATTTGTACTTGTATTTTGACAAAGTTGATCGGACAATTGTATAACTTGTGAATTCTCATTAAATGATACTTCATTTTGTACTTTAGTTTGTGAATTCATCATCAATGTTTTATTTATACTATTTGAAATGGTACAACAAGATTGCGTTGTATGATCTATATCGCAACAATTTTTACTTTTATCTTTTTTATTATAACTTTGACCAGTGTCTACGGTTTCCTTATGTAATAGATTCCAGTTATGAAGGACATTCTTAACTTGGACATTTTGATTATTGATCTCATTATTATCTACATTAATATTAATAGGTTTTGATAATTGTATTGAATTATCATTTATATTTATAGTATGTCCAAATAGATGTATAGTCAATTTATCTATACCAACTAATACCTCATTACATACAGGACACATAAGTGGTCTAGTAGCTACACTTACAAGGCCTGCTCGTAAAGCATCTAAAGTTGTAAAACTGGGTTGAGAACATAAAGGACATGCTAAAAGACGAGCACACATTTTAAAAGCTTTATGATATTAAATATCTTAGAGCGTGCTTTAATATTTCATCTCTTGTTTTATTATTTTATATTATTTTATATCATTTTCCAATTGTAAAATTCACTTTATTATTGTTTAATAATAAATATCTTATTATCTTCATTGTTAGCTTTGATCAAAGAAAATATCTAATCGTTTCACGTTTTGATTATTCACTTAATTTTCTTTTACAAGATAGATATAAATATAAAACGTAAAATTAATCTATAATACACATAATCAGAGATCGGATTAATTAATCCAACTTAAAATTAATATTATAGACTGGAAACACAATTATCGTGGTTATACTTGCACTTGAGCCAATAGAAAAAAATTAAAGCTCAATTATAATGATTCGACAATGCATATATAATGGAAATAGTCTATTTAATGAGCTACCCATATATACAATCCAGGACAGAATGTTATAACTCAAGTCCTAAATATAGATGAACGAGATTTCAGGTATTTATGTTGAATTCTTTTGCTTTGAAGAGTTAGGTGACGATCTTCTGGTTATATTTAGATAAAAGGCGGGATATTCGAAAAAATAATATCTATGAATATGAAAATATTTATTACAAAATATTACATATAAAATATTAAAAATTATTAATACTAATTATGTATATAAATTTTTTTTTATAATTAACTAACCAATAGGACACTTGTAAGAAATCCCATCCTTGCAGCAATACTTTTTACCAGTGGATAGATTTGTATTGATCCATTTATTTTCACAATTTTGTATGAAAAGATATGCCTATATTAAGAAACAATTTATTACAGATATTTGTACTTATATAATATTTTTCTATTATTTCTATTAATATTAAACAATATTATAATGCAAACTACTTACTCTTTCTTTCAAACAATTACGATCTATTGCAGCACAAAGTAAATCAGAACTATTTGGAAGATGTTTTATAATCTGTAATATGGATAAAGTAATATTCAATATATTAATCCTAAACATGAATTTTTTTATATGTATATACGTAAACATTAGTTAAATTTTTAAAGTATTCTTTTCGACTCACCATCTCAACACATTTATTAATGCAATGTTTGTTTCCAAGAGGAGTACAAGGAAACAATTCTGACTGTTCGTGAAGAAGAGCCGGGTTCCCTGTAGGCTGTTCTTTAGTACCTTTTTTAAACTGTCCACTTAAAAAGACACCACAAATACATCCAACAGGTTCTTCAGACGTTGACAACTCTATGCGATTATTCTTGTTTTCATCGATATCATTTTTTGTGTAAACAGTTGATACACATAAAATAATAAAAATAAACTCTAAATACATTTTAAACTGTAATGAAAGATTTATATTAAATAGAATAAAATCACTTTATCTTTCACTTTTTTTTAATTATTGGAAAAATTATCTCTATATATTTGTCTGCCTTTTTATATTACTTGATAGAAGTCTTAAAAAAGATTGAGAATTCTTCTATGTGCCAACGAAAGTGTATCAGACCAAAATGTTGCAATATATAAAGGACAGGATGGTGTTGCTTATTATGCAAAATTTGTTTATAGTGTATGATTACACATATAATAAGACCTACTTTCATTCATCAGATACATTTAATTGTAAAATATAAATTGTTTTTATTGATTTTTTTTCCTTAATGTTTTTACATCTATGAAGCAATTATTTAACACTATTTATACTATTTGTCTTCATAATTAACTTTGCTTCGCCCTTTAGAACTATTTGTTCTCCATTTGAAATTAAAGTATATTCACATTTTATAATTTTGCGTACAGATATTATTTGTATTATTATTTCTACAGTGTCACCGACGTAACAAGAATTTGGAAATTTAAGAAATTGTTCCGTAACAATTGTACCCGGGCCTGGTAATTTTGTACCAAGTACACCCGACACTAAACCATTAAGTAAAGCTCCATGAACAATATTTTTTTCAGAAGTAATATGTATCGGATTATAATCGTTAGTTAACTTTGCAAAATTTAACACATCACTGTCTGTTATTGTTTTAAAAATTGATATCCTATCTCCAACTTTTAAACTTGAAGAAGATACTTTGATAGGAGTTTTCGTACAATATTTTTTTATATTATAATAAAAAAGAGAAATACGTAACATAATTACTTATCAATTAAAAAATATCATAGAACGTATATTATAAATCTATTCTATATTAACAATATCCTATTTATTTGGCAAATTTGTCACTGCTATATACATCATTTTTATCATTAATCTTTTCAATATTATGTCCTTGGCAATAATCGTTTAAAAATATTGTAGACAAATTTTTTATACGATTATTTGTACTATTAGAAAAATCATGCATATGTTTAATAACTGTAGGTGAAACTATATCATTTATAAATTCGGGTGTTATTATAAACATTAAAGTTGTAATTGATGATAGTATGGTTCCTTCGTCACGAGAATTAAGTAATGATGATACTAATGAAATGCCTTGATTGCGTAAGATATATGCTTTATTTATTGGATCTGAAAAGTAATGATTATTTTCATTATTGTGCAAATGAATGACATCATTGTTGTTATGCCTTTAATATGATCAAAAGTATAACTTACCTAAGCATAAATTACAAATACCTCCTATAGCAAAACGTACAAAAATAGGATTATCTTCGGATAAAATATGAAGAAATAAATCGATTACTTTAAGCTGTCTTAAATATTCATAATTAATAGGATCATAAGAAAAATTAACCAAATTTGCTAATACTTGCTCCTTCGCATCTATTTAAAAAAACAGATATATATATAATATTAATTGAAATAGATACATAAAAATATTGTAATTAATTTAAAATTTCGTCTAATTACCTTTAGACGAAGTCGTTTTAAATTCATTTATTAAAAGTTTTAAAAAATCATATCGGCCTACGCCATTTTGTCCTGTACGTTGTATTAATTTCTCTTTAGTTGAAAACATTGAATACTCTAAATACCAATCAACATTTATAATAAATATTTTTAATAATATTATCGATAATATATTACATTATTCACAAATTACATATAATACATAATACAATATTCTCTTTGATCAAATTTGATTGAATTCTAATCTGTTTATTATTTCTATCTGTTGCATTATGATTGGTTAATGGAAAGTAGTAAATCATAATACATAATAATTAAAAATAATTTTATTCCAATATTATTGTGTAATAGATTAAAAATTGAATAGAATTAAATAAAATTAAAATATAATATTATGAGTACGATGATATAGTCGACGAGGACATACAAAAAGGTAGTTCTTACGTCATTGGTGAGAACAATGTTGCATAATATGATCGTTGAAAGCTAAAGGCGCATTTAGAGTAATATTAATGTCAACGAAACATAATATTCGAACATACCGCCATTCTCATAATCTGTTCGAAAGGAGCATAAGGTTTCGTTGTAGAAGACATGATTAACACGTAGCCGGCGTTTGACGTGTCCTAGCCTCCTAGTCTAGGCGCATATCAGTTTAATAATTTCTTGCAAGCATCAGTCTTATAAGTTGCAACGTGCTGTATTGAGGGAATAGTACATGTTTGCATGCTTATATCGAAAAGTTGTTAGTGAAAAACGAAAAAAAAATATGCATTATAGCGTTTAATTTCACTGAGAACAAAATGTTGCCGAATAAATCGTCTGCGACAAATACGAAAAAAATTATGTTCCCTGATAAGAAAACAACCACCAAGCAAATGAGAACTTCTACCTTAACCAATGCCGCTGGTCTTAGTTCTTTGATTACTTTTACCGTATTATTACTTGCTTGGATAGCAGGTTTTGCATCCAGACTTTTTGCAGTTATACGATTTGAAAGTATTATACATGAATTTGATCCTTGGTATGTATTTTTGTTTTTTGTTTTTGTTTTGTTGTTTTTTTTTTAAGGATCTATTTTTTATACATTACGAATATAGGTGTTGATTTCTTTCTTAAATAAATTAGTATTTTGTCAGATGAACATTGATATTTTTATTAATTTTATATTTATATTTTATAAATACTTATGAAAATTTCTTTAATCATCATTTATCAATAACAGGTTCAATTATAGAGCAACGGCTTACATGGTACAACATGGGTTTTATAATTTTTTGAATTGGTTCGATGAAAGAGCTTGGTATCCATTGGGACGTATTGTAGGTGGAACAGTATATCCTGGACTTATGATTACATCTGGAACAATACATTATATACTACATTCTTTAAATATTCCAATACATATAAGAGATATATGTGTCTTCTTAGCACCAGTTTTCAGTGGCCTTACTGCCATTTCTACTTATTTATTAACTAAAGAAATATGGAGTGCTGGTGCTGGACTTTTTGCTGCATGTTTCATTGCAATTGTACCTGGTTATATTTCCAGATCTGTAGCTGGAAGTTATGACAATGAGGGAATTGCAATATTTGCATTACAAATTACTTATTATCTTTGGGTTAAATCAGTTAAAACTGGATCAATATTTTGGGCTTCAATGACTGCACTATCATATTTTTATATGGTATCTGCATGGGGTGGATATGTATTCATCATTAATCTTATACCATTTCATGTATTTGCATTATTAGTCATGAATCGATTTAGTAATCGTTTGTTCACAAGTTATACTACATTTTATATTTTGGGACTTTTATTAAGTATGCAAATACCATTTGTTGGTTTTCAACCAATTAGAACATCAGAACACATGGCTGCAGGAGGTGTATTTGGTTTATTGATTTTTGTAGCTACTCTCAGGTATTTGTAGAACATATTTGTCAATATATGTTTTGTAATTAATTCATGATATTAACATTTAATGAAAATAAATGTTTTCTTTTCAACAGGTATTTACGAACCGTACTGACAAAATTTGAAATGAAATATTTCAGTGGTGTGGTAGCAATAACAGCAGTTGTCCTTTTATTAATTTTGATTATATTAACTTATACTGGTATTGTTGCTCCTTGGAGTGGAAGATTTTATTCTCTATGGGATACAGGTTATGCAAAAATACATATACCTATAATAGCATCAGTTTCTGAACACCAACCTACAACTTGGTTCAGTTTCTTTTTTGATTTACATATTCTTGTCACAACATTTCCTGTTGGACTATGGTACTGCATCAAACATATTAATGATGAAAGAGTGTTTGGTAATTATCTATATTTTAATTATTCTCGAATTAAATAATAACGTTAATAAATATATTTATAATTTATATTTTAGTTATATTGTATGCCATAAGTGCCGTATATTTCGCTGGAGTAATGGTAAGGCTTATGCTTACTTTAACTCCAGTTGTATGTATGTTAGCTGGTGTAGCATTCAGTGGATTATTAGAATTATTCTTGAAAGAGGAATGTAGAGATGGGAATGATAGAACTGAAGGGAGCGAAGATGAAAGTGAAGAAGAAAGAGAGAGAAGTCCTGGCAGAGCATTATATGATAAAGCTGGAAAACTAAGAAGAATGAAACATGAAAGACCTAAGGATGCTGGTGATGGATTAGGAGACAGTCTTAGAAATAGTGTCATCATTGGTGTATTAATCTTGTTAATGATGTTCACTGTGCATTGTACTTGGGTTACAAGTAATGCATATTCTAGTCCTTCTATTGTTTTAGCATCTTATAGCAATGATGGTGGTAGAGCTATTCTCGATGATTTTAGAGAAGCTTATTACTGGTTAGCTCAAAATACACCTAATGATGCTAGAGTTATGAGTTGGTGGGATTATGGTTATCAAATAGCTGGAATGGCGAATAGGTAAAAGTTACAGCATATACAATTTAGTTATATTACATGAACATCATCTTTTTCTTTTTCTTTTTTTTTTTTTTTTTTTTTTTTATTTATATAGAACTACACTTGTGGATAATAATACGTGGAATAATTCACACATAGCTTTAGTGGGTAAAGCAATGAGTTCAAACGAAAGCGCTGCTTATGAGATTATGACGTCCTTAGATGTAGATTATGTATTAATTATTTTTGGTGGTATGATTGGATACTCTGGTGATGATGTTAACAAGTTTTTATGGATGATACGGATTGCCGAGGGTGAACATCCCCAAGATATTCGTGAAAGTGACTATTTCTCTGAAAAAGGAGAATTTAGAGTGGATTCCGAAGGATCTCCTACTTTAATGAATTCTTTAATGTATAAGCTGAGTTATTATAGATTTGGTGAAGTTAAAATTGACTACAGATCACCTTCTGGTTATGATCGTACTCGAAATGCAGAGATAGGAAATAAAAATTTTCAGCTCACCTACTTAGAAGAAGCTTATACTACTGAACATTGGCTTGTTAGAATTTATAGGTACTTTTATTCTTCATACAAATTGTTAATCTGTTTAATAAGATATATTTAAACGTTATAAATAATTATTTCGTTATATAAAAAAAATGTTTAATCTCGTGATCTTTATACAGGGTAAAAAAACCAGAAGAATTTAATAGACCCAGGATTCCAATCGCAGATAGAGTTATAGCTCGTCATGCAAACTCGTATATTAGCAAAAAGGTTAGTTTAGTCAGAATTTAATAATATTAATATAATTGAAGAATTGATTTTTGAAATATTTTGCGTATCGTTTTTCCTTCTTTTCATTATTACATTAGTGAATCTGAAAATCTAGTTGAAGTTATGGGGGGTTAAACATTAATGTTTCAGACTGCACGACGTAAGAAAGGTTTCATAAAAGGCCGGCCAATAGTTATTAAAGGACAGAAACCTCAAAAGAAAGCGACGTAACAAATGTATATTACTTATCCCATAAAAAATTTCAAATACAACTTTTGTAACAACAGAATTACCGTCCCTTGGGTCTACCATAAACTGTAGTCCAAAGTGTGATTAATACTGTCAAAGAATTTGTTTGAAGGATACTGTAAGAAAAGAAAAGAAAAAAAAACAGGATCTTATTTCAAAGTATCATGAAACCAGAAACAATTATTTTACCAATTATTTTTAAAAGAAAGTTCCATTAGTCTTTATGATGATTGTCTAATATACAATGGCACATCATATAATAGTATATCATATATAAGTTTATTTCACCTACTTCATTGCAACATACTATTACACATTATTAAATAAATACCACTATGTATATATATTAAGTGTATTTCAGTAATATATTTTAGGTACACTGATAGTAGATACTTTTTAAAATTGTTGTAATGAAATTCATTACACAAATTAAATATTATTCTTTAATGAATTGAATTTCTCAAAAGTTATATTTACATGAACACCCATATATATATATATATATATATATGTATTTATGTATGTATGTATGTATGTACGTATTTGGAATATTTTCTATTAGTTAAATTATTATGTTTTAATTAATTTCTGTAAATTTTTTTTTATGATCAAAGATCAATGCAATTTTATTGAAAAAAAAAATCAATAATATTCTGCATTTAATCGTACAGGTTTGTATTCCAGTCTAGATTTGTGTTTAGTCTAGATTATATTATTCTAACAAACAAAAAATTTATTAATAAAAATGAGTTTTACTGATTGTTATATTGTTAAAAACAGTGGGTTTAAAAACACGTGTCACATTTATCCAGTTTGTTATACGGTACATTGTTGAACAAAACATTTGTAATAACATAGTCTTGTTGTTTACAAGCATGGTGTTGTAAATCTTAAAATCTTGTTTTGTATTCTGTATGCAGGACCTAAGAATACAAAGATTAAGATAAATTCAGAACAGAATTACATTACATATTTGGATTCATATGACACAATGCTTTATTGGAACTATAGTTTTAAAGATTACCATAATATTCTTAGGTCACTGTAAATGTTATTTATTGCACGCTTTTTTCCTTTCCTGACCAAATCCGTTTATTTCATGGAAAAGATTTTTTTTTTTCTTTTTTTGAATGTATTTGTAAATAAAACAATTTCACACATATTAATATATAACAAATTACTATATATATACATATATATATATATCTTGATCAATTCTAAATATAATCAATATTTGTATATATTAGATAAAATTTGCGAATAGGTACGTGTTTTTTTATATTACTTAATTATTAAATATAACATTCAGAATTAAACACAGAATATATTCGGAAGTATTAATTCGTTAGATAAACAACATTAAATGTCAAAATCAGCTGATTACTAAATGTGTAGCATATATATACTGACTTAGTGTGTATGAATGTATATATATATATATACATATACATACGCAAATATATATATATATATACGCATATATATATATAAATCATTTCCTCATCAAAATAATTACTAGTCAAATATATGACGGATCTATAGTGAAGGGATTTTATTCTTATTCTATGCACAATTATAATTTTTGTCAAAATTGGGTATATTTCATTTTTTAATATTTACACAGAATATTTAAAATCAAACATTATAATTAATAATAATTCTAATTAAAGTAAAATATTAATTAAATTTCATTGATGAGTGCAATATTTAATTTAAATTATTGTTTCATATTCTAGCTTAGCTATTATTAATAAAAAAATAAAACAAAAGTGAATAGATTTTTGAATATGCCAAGTATATCGTAATTTTTTTTATAATTATTATATTCATATGTAAGGTCAGTTTAATGCAAGTCTAACTTCATAATTTCATTTTTTTTTTTTTATTAACGTAGTTCATAAATGATATAAAATTGTTAGTTACGTATTTTGATATCTTAATTATTGTGACTGGAATGTTATACGATTTATTTAAATAAGAAAAAAGAAAAAAAATTTGAAGTCATTACCGTAATATCATTAAATGTTAAGAGCCTACGAAAGATACCAACGTAAGGAAGATTGTTCTAACTTTTTTATTATTATTTAATACTAAATTAATATATACCAAAGAAAAGAGGGAAAAAGAACAAAGAAGAGAACGAATGATTAATTTTAACAATAAGGGAGAATATTTGATTGCTAGGTTATGTCGAATTAAGAAACAATGTAGTAAACATTCTTCTAGTTTCTCGAGTGAGAAATGAATTATCCTATATTCATTTTGTTATACCACGAATCTAGAACGAGTTGATTATTAGGCATAGACAAAGGACGTTCATACGTCGAATCTACGCCAATATCATCGCGATTTCATGGATTATTCGCAACAAAGATTGTTCGTGTGTGCAATGATCGCCATTTTGCTTCTCTCACATCTGACATGTCTTTCTAATGTTATTATCGATGAATACCGTAATTCGTGCGTGAAAATCTTAAATTTCCTTGAAGTGTATCTTTTAAGAAAAGGTCAAGTTATTTCTGATTGGACAATAGTCAGCATTATTATTTGGAATAATCTCTTGTTGCTCCAATTTCGATTAAACTACGTTAAACCCCGAGCTAAGCAACCACTAGATAAAGGCAATTTTATGTGCGTAATCACAGATATTTTACTCTTGTTACAAAATTTTTAATATGTAACAGAGAAATGATTAAATGAATTTTTAATGTTACATCGTTGATAAATTTGTTTGCAATATTTTCTATGGTGTCTCGTTGTCAATGCAAGGGGCGAACATAACCAAATATTGTTGACCTCCAACGTTGTGTGTGCTCATGTCATCACTGAAAAAAGAACACTTCTTAATATGATTTTAACTTGTCAGATATTATTGATACTACCTTCAGCAATATTTTATATCTTGATGCACCCTATATTGCAGTTGATTAAAGATGCATAGGATTTGTTAGCTATAAAATGCTATGTAAGACAAGGATTGTTTTTACTCTGATCTAGATATGGACTATAGTCTAATGCTTGTTGCTTAAATCAAGTCTATGTAAACACTATGTACATTCAAATCTAAATCCAAACGCAATAACAATATAGTTTGAAAATTCTTAAACGTTTATTCATGAGATATTGAATATATTTTCAAAGAACTTGTTGTTATGAGTATAAGTAAAATAATATACATATTATGGGGGATCTATACACAAATTTTGAAAGCATATAATTTGGATATAGTTTGAATGTATTAATACGCATACCATGACGATTTTATATGTATCCATATATATATATATATATATATGTAAAGTTTAAATAGACGATTAAGTACATAGCAAAATATTTAGCAATTAAGTAATATTGCATATTATTTTGTAATATATGACATTTTTTACTCAAATTTGTTTCTGCGTACATATTGTTTTAGTGCAAATGTATAAGGCTTTAGGGCCTAACTGTAAAAAAAATCTATAACTGTGATGTAATTTAAATGAATTTATTTTTAATTTTTATATTTTCAGTATTATTTACATAATAAAAAGTGTATATAAGTGTTAGTTTTGGTATATGGCATAAACTAAGTTTTATCTAGATAAGAAGAATTTTGATGTGTGGAGTATTTGAGAATGCAGATAGAATGGGCTGGAATAAGAGTGGCAATCAATGAAGGTCCCTACGTCTGGAAACTCAAACATGGACAATAAATTGAAGTTTTCAGATCGCTTGAAGGCTTTATTGAAAACCGAGGCTCACCAAGATGTTGATCCGTATATTTTTAGTGAACCAGAACCATTTACTGCAGCAGCAGGAAGAAACTGTACAGTAGTTCAGACCAAAAGTTCTAAAGTGATGCAAAATTGTAAAAAAAGTAAAGGGAAATGTATAAAAGAAAGGATAAAATTAACTCCTGTGCCAAGTGCAGGATATAGAACTGTTACAGATAGAAGGACAGACTTGGATGTGGAATATGGTGGTGGGAGAAGCATAGATCAAAAATATTCTAATATAGTTCAAAGTAAACGACGTCACTTAGAGAATTTGGAACGACTCAGGTCAAGAAGACAGAATCGGGACCATACGTTGTTGTACTATCCAAAAGCAGGAGACGAAATATCAGATAGTGAGTCAAGCGGAGACGAGATGACAGTTTATCAACGTCATTGGTTCTCAGGAGATACAAGTACAGAATTAAATCGTTCTACAAGATTATCTCAATTAAGATCTCAGTTACGGCGACGTTTGATTCAGTTAAATAGAAGTGACTCAGACTCAGAAGTTCTTTTACGTGAACGTGCAAGGTGTTTATTAGAAACTGCTTACAAGGACCCAGCATCTACAGCAAGAGCTTTAAGTGATTCACCAGGAACTAGTAAGATAATAGATGGACCACTTTTAGTAGGAGGGCAATGTGGTGCTGAAGGATGTCAACAAATTTCTTTACCTTGTACACGTCATTGTTCTCGGCATATTATGTTAAATGGAGATCAACTTTTATTTGAACATTGCACTGCCAAATTTAGTGACAACACACAGTGTTGTATTCCTGTGTTCGATGTTGCACATGAATTACCGCTTTGTCCAGAGCATGCTAGAAAAAGGGATAATTATAATCGTAAGGCTCAAGAATCTAAACCAAAGAAAGCACGGAAGAAACCAGCATCTCCTACCATCCCAAGGCCTAAGCCAAAATCCAGGCCAAAGAAAAGAAAACGACCTCCTGCAAATAAATTAGAGACCAAAGGTACTTTAGCACATGAAGAGAGTCATTATATGAGCCAAATGAACTCTAGTGAAAGTCACATTAAGACACTGAATAATATGAGTGTAACACAAGGAAGCTCAAACTCTTCGAACTTAAACTTAGGGTTGGGACTGAGTTCTCTTGGACTAGGAGGAGGCCTGAAAGTCGAGTTAAGTGATCATGAAGTATTTGCTTCTCTGGATCCAACTGAACATGACTTTGGAAATGTACTCAACAATTTACCTGCAGATGCGTTTAATGATTTATTTATTGGTAATTATTATTTAATCTTATATATCATAAAAACAGAAGGCAAACGATCATGGAAGAACTATTAGTGTCATTTGGTATAATTTAATAAATATTTAATTAAATTTTTATATATAACTTTTTTAGAAAGTAGAAATGGTGAATATGAACCATCAAGAGAGGAGGAAGAAGAATTGGAACGAGCTTTAGAAGCAGTGGATAAAGATGTTCGTAATTTAGAAAGAATGGGACAAACACATGGACTTTTAGAGCCAGCTTTACTTGCTCAACTTATGTCAGATATAGCTTCGTAGCCCCACCTACATTAACATTATAATAATCAGAAAATAAATTCGCGTGTGTTCCTTATGATGTAGAAAAAGAGATACTGTTTTGTGTGTCTGTGCTGCTACATGTAAACTTGTGTCACTGACTCGTTACTACACAGTTGCACATGTTCGAGACATTAGCAGGGATTGATATACATATATAGAATGTGAACAAGAACAATAGTAAACTTATCAATTTAGGATGATGGACACTAGGTAACACATGGCTAGATTTAATGTCATGTATGACATACAGCTTGTAAATGTTTAAGAATTCCATTTTTTCCAATTAATAGCTAATTAAGAAAACTGTTCATAGTTTAAAGTTGTAGTGTATATTTACAGCTTACTATGAACATACCAACAAATTTTAGTTAATGAAGATTTATTGTACTAGCACTTTTTAGTAATACATTTCATTACATTAATTTTTCAAAATATGGGCAATGAAGATACAAAAAGTTATATTACACAAAATAATTTACACATTCAGCATTCAGGATATCAACATTCAGAATATTGCAAAAATATTAAGGTATATATTCTCTTTTATATATATATGTCACACATTTAGAATTTTATTATAATTAGACATTGTGTATTAATAGAGCTATTTCACGATCATCTATTTTTCTCTTTCTATTTGTTACATTTTACTTAATTGCTTTATCAATATATTATTTTTATCTTCTCATAGTTACAAAAACTAAATTTTCTTGATTTATTCGACTATCCTAAATGATTAAAAAAGACAAAGTGTGTCCAATATATAAAATTATTTCATATTTGATATAGATTAAGCAAATAAATGCAAATAAGTGCATTATAATTGATTTGAAAAAATGTCGCCAATATTTTTATTTTGATTAATTCATGCATTATGATTGATTTGAAAAATTTCAACATTTTTTGTTTTTATGAATTCCTTATAATATATATATATATATATACACCCACACACACTCACCCACCTACACATACACACACCACACACCACACTAGACAGATAGACAGACAGACAGACAGACAGACACACACATATAAAATTTAAAAAGATCTAGATATAATGTCATCATAGTATTAAAAAACGATATTTATGTAAAATATCTAAAAAAAAAAAAAAAAAAAAAAAAAAAAAAAAAGAAAAAGAAAAAGAAAAAAAAACTTTTTATGAAATTTTGGGTTAGTGTATTTGCATTTCTATTCTAATTACACCATGAATTATTCTATGTTGATGATCTTAATCTTTAAATCATTTGCATTTTTAATTTATAATAGTTTCAGTTATAAAATAACAAATTACTAATGATAAATCTTAGATCTTTTCCAACTTTTCATAAATGATCAAGCGATGTTATAGTATATACAAAAAGTGATCTCTTGGTTAATATATGAACAGAACCGTTTTTTTTTTTTTAAATTATATCTCATTAAACATCTTGTGCATAAAATAAAATTTTACAGGGATATGACTGAATTCATATAAAAATACACATATGTTATATATATCTCTGAACGATTACTATTTCTTTTTTTTTTTTTTTTTTTTTTCTTTTTTTTCCATTAGTTGTTTGTTGTAATAATTCATTGAAGTAATCGTGAATATTAATAATACATACACATAATGATCAATAATGTTATTTTATCCATTTTGTAATATATTCATGTAGACAAATATTCAGTGATAAGTAGCTGTAAGAAATGAGTAAAAAATCGAAGATGATCTGAAAGAGTTTCATTTTTAATACCGTTCATTAATATAAGTGCAAAGTAATTTGCAATCAATGTGGAAATGACACGCGTTAGAATTATTTCATTATTCAAGTAAGAAAAGAAATTCTTTCGTCTTAATTTTTTTTTGATATAATGTACACATTAATTCCCAGTTAAGGCACAGATTCTGACAGTAAGACTAGATTGCTATTAAGATAAGAGTTATGTACTGCCATTTTATTGCTAAAATATCATAACTCTATAGAAATATGCAAAGTGCAGTCTAATATTTGATTGTAGACACATCGTGAAGATAGATTACAAATTATCATAGTTTTAATGCATATCGATAATTGAGTGTGATCTAAGAGTTAAACATATAAAGTTATTGTGCATTGCAGTTATTAGTTATCATTAAAAAGTTTGCACGAATGTAAGTACAAGAGAACAGATATATAAATTTGCTTGAAAAAAAAAAAAAAAAAAAAAAAAGAAAAAAAAAGAAAAAAAATCTAGTTTTTATTATCAAAATCTTAGTGCCAAATATATAGAAATAAAAGGTACTTAGTTTTCTCTTTTAAATGTGCGTGTCACTTATCTAAAAATGATAATTCATAAAATTCCACATTTTTGGAGTATGTTAGTTAAATATGAATTATTAAAGTCACTTGCAAAAATAGGTTTGCAAAAAAAATATTAGTAACAATCTCGTATAAATGAAACTAAAAAAATATTTGCAATTGGACACCCATATTGGAAATAAATTAATGTCATATACTGTTATTTGTAGAATCTTAGTGATTAGGTAAATAGTAATTATTTATGGAGAAGGACAATGCAAAATTTAATCAAAAAAAATGCATTGCTTCGAGTGTATCTATATGTGACTCATTGTAAAATATCAACATTATTACTCTTGACTAGACATTATCAATTATAATAAGCATATTTTTTACATTGTCTTAAAATACTCAGTTTATCTGACCCATTCACTTATCCTCTATTAGCGTAACATATTAAGCATTTTTTTTAAGATTAAATATATGATATATGTAAATTCATTGGATTTACATGATAGCCAGATAACATTTATCAGTATTCTGTTCAATTATATATTTTCTTTGGCTTGTATTACAAATATTCTTTTTTACATTTAACCAGTGTAATATTTTTATTTATCACAAACACAAATTTTAAAATGATTGCTAATTAATTTCTATTTGTATTTTGAAATCTTTCGGTATAATATTATTTTCAATTCGATTTTGATAAAAATGTGATTGTTACAATAGTTCTTATGTAAACATTTTTATGAATTTTAAATCTTCCATGAAATGTAGATTTTGAGTTAATTACAACTATTATGTTGATAACCAAGTAGAGCTAAAATAACAAATAATTGGATTATACTATTGTATAATACATTTTTATTGTAATACCAGAAAATAAGTTTACCTATTTGTTAAAGTATCTATTTACTATATCATTTAAGTTGGATTTCATTCGACTTGATTTTTAAATAATGGTCATAATAGAATATGTATCCAACTGTTTACTATGACTCTCTATTTGTCTAATAATCCACTTTTTCCTAGCATCTTCACGAAATTTAGAATATTTTCTAGTCGATTTATCATTTTTTTTTACTTCAAATACTTCTGTTAATGCAGGTTGAAGTTCGAAAGAAGGCATCCTCATAATATTTTGATTACAGTCCTTTTTATAATATAAATGCAATTATTATTTCTTTCTTATGAGATTGACACAAGACATTTGAAAAGTTACTTATTATATAGATATTATATAAAAAGCATACCGGATTGTTTTGTGTCAGGTTATTAGTTATATTGTTCTTTTTATCATAACTTTTTTCAGTTTTACTAGTGTTTTCAACATGATTAGAATTTTCTGAATCAAGCAACATTAACATTAAATCATAATTGGATCTTTCTTGTCCAAGTATGCCAATTTTAATTCCAAGTTTAGGCAACATCTCTTCTTCAATAAGTAATGCATTGTGTAAGTAAGCAATTCGTGGATCACATGTATCAACATCTATCATTCCTATGGATTAAGACAGAAGTTAATAATATGCATGAATTAAAAGTTTATTTCTTTATGTTTCTTAATAATTTAAATAATATTATTTTTTATTATACTTTTGAACCATGCTCAATACAATATATTAACACGAATAATACTTGCAAATGTATTACCTAATGATAAAACTTGGAAATTACACTTTGAATAAATTAATTCCTCTATTAAAGGTGAATATTTAAGCAATTTTCTTTTAGATTGTATCTGTGGACCATGTAGTACAAAAATATCACTTTCTAACATATCTTTAATGGTATAACCACTTTTTTTGTTGTAGACTTCAGTTCTGAGTAGTCTATGTAATTCTGACTCTAGAAAAACATATATCAATAAGCGTATGATACATACAGCAAAGGAGAAAACAATAATGAATATAAAGTTGTATTTTGTACTATAATGCAATAGACATATTTTTCATTGATCATGTTCAAAAGTGATGGAATAAATATAATTGTGTTAATAATGTAGGATAATTTACCAATTAAGTGAAAATGTTTACGATGTAAAGCTATCCATACAACACGATGAGATATATGAATTAGCACTTCAAATATTCTTAGATCTTTTTCTCCTTGTGATTGAGTCATACTTGATCTTTTTTTTCCACTTATTATATGGTGATAGTGTATTGTATCTTGGCAACCTACTATTAAATCTGCATATTCTTTACTTAACATACATCGTAAAATATGCAATTCATCAGCATATTTAATTCTATGTCCACCTGCTAATGGATTTGGTGCCTTTTTTAGAGTAGCTACACGTTCTTCCATTAATTTTTCCCATATTTCTATATAATATTGAAAATATATTATAAGTGCTCTTAAAAAATTATCAACAACAGGCAAATGAAAGAAATTTATAAATTTAACGCTGACAGGACTAATGAGTAAAAACATAACAAGATCTTTTATATCTTGTAAGATGATTACGTCTGGTTCATTAGGAGCTACTTTTCGTAAATAATACTTTCTAAATTTTATCTGTAAAATATTTCTTGTTAACATATTAAATTTATTTATTATTAATTATTGATCTATCTATTGCTAGATTAATTACTTTCTGACTTGGATTCAACGTTTCATGAAAATTTAAAATTAAATAATTATGGGGACAATAAATTTCTGATGGATCTATAACTTCAAATTGTATTGTTCGTCTTTTAATTTGTTCATCATCTATTTTTTGTACTCTGTAAAATTTATATACAAATGAATTACAAGCAAGTACACAAAATTTAGAATAATAATTGATATATTTTTTATTAATTCTAAGAAAAATATATTTTTTTTTTTTTACCTTGGTAATATTAAACCTTCAGAAACTTCATCCCATATAAATCGGTTTTGATCCATAATTATACTAATGAGTATAAAAATTATTAAATTAAAATCATTTATTAGGATACTATATATATTTAGAGGTTAACATTTTAAATAAATAAATTATTGACAAATCGGATAGTATATTTTTGAAGTTCTAAGAGAATCGAATTATATTGATTACTAAAAGGTCCAAATGTGTGTATGTGTGTACGCGCGCGAATGTGTATATATATATATCTTTTAACATGATTGCGTATGTATGTGTGTATATACATTATTGCTTTAATAAGATAGTGTCTGAAAAAGCAATGCATAAATTAAATTACTATTTCAACGATTTTCTTTTTTCATCTTAATATTTTAATAAATTAATAATAAATTATTCTGCATTATAAATTTATTAACAATTAAATATATAATTAGTTGATACATTTTATTCTAAATTTTGTATATTACGAGGTATAGGCATAGAATCTAATATTGGTTTATCTTCTGGGAAAATTGGCTCCAACAAATATTTCCAAAAATCTTGTATAAATACATTATGATGATGAATCCTACACCTAACTTTTATTTTTTCGCTATTATTAATTGTTACAATGACGTAAAATTGTTTTCCTTCGAGAGATAAATCAGGTCCAGATATAGTTTTTTCTGGTAAAGTAATTGCTTCTTCGGGTACATAAACTCCTGCCTTACGGAAACTTACTTTTAAATGCCATTTTTCTAGAGTCCATGGAACTTCTTGTGATAATGATACAGATAAATTCATATGTGATAAAATATTTATTGTTTGTTTTGTTACTAGAGAAAGTTTAGGTCCTTCATCAATGCTTTTTGTAATATATTTGCCAATGTTTTCTTCAGTTGCATATACTCCTAATTTAGGTAGAATGACATTATTATAAGCTTTTTCAGGAGACACCAAAACAATTTCTCCCTTTGCACCAATCTTATGTACATCAGACGTTAATATCAATTTGATTGGTTTCTGTTTCTGACTTTCAGTATGTTCTACAAAATGATAGACAAAATATTTAGGCCTAAGCATTCTGTATTTTTCAGATTTTTTAAGAAGTGGTGGTTTAAATTTTCTTTTCAATATAAAACCATTCTGAAAATAGATATTATAAATATATATGTGTATATATATATATATATATATATATATATAATATATAGTTCATATTAAAAAATATATTATAAATAATAAAAACCATGTTTAAACAAAATGAATACCCGTGTTTGCTGATAAACAAAATCTGTGCCATTATTCTGTAATAATGTGGTCCTGCTTAAAAATGGTCTAATCAACATCTTTAAATGGTTTGCACAAAAATTCGATTTTAACATTTTTCTTTTTGTTTTCAGCAAGAAAAATCCAGGAAGAAAAGTAAGGATATCATTAATAAATTAGAATATACAATTATTATACAAACTTTAGGTTACATTTAAATCGATAGTATTTCCCTCTGTTGTCAGAACTTGATATGAAATTTTCATATCAAGATGACATCTAGTGGCGCGGAGAAACTAAATTATAAAATTCTATAACCTAATATTGAAATAATAAAATGCCGTTTAACTAGATAATTAGATATTAATTAAATGATACGATATGTATTATATCATAAATAACATTTATTATATTGAAGTTATTCATACAGATGTCTTTTGTTTAAATAAGATATGTAATATATAACAAATATTATATACAATGGAAGAGATTAATGTGCCAAATGAAGAAACTTTGAAGGGAGCTATTTTTGATTTGCAAGAACCAATAGTGTTTCATAATATTTTGCAAGATGGGAATGGTTCATTTATATGGCAATTATTACAATGGAATTTATCGGATCTTATAGAAAAATTCGGAGATATGAAATTACAATTTCGAGTTGGATATAATTCAAGATCCATGGTATCTTTCATCGTTAATCATTTAAAAGAAATTCGTATTTATAAATTCATAAATTTATTAGAGAAAAGTATAATTTATATTTTTTATTATCTATTATAGTATCCACAATGGGAAAAGCAATGCCATACTAAAACAATGACATTTGCAGAATTTGTAGAAGAATCGAATTCTTCTATTGATAACAGTAAATGGTATTACTTTGATTACAAGTATATGCATGAATGGATACAGGATAAGCCTGATTTACTTAATTCCTTAAATTGGCATAGATTTGGCATTGAAAAAGATGGTCATGATTCTACTCTTTGGATTGGAAATAAAGGCGCACATACAAATTGCCATTTTGATTCTTATGGATGTAATTTAGTAGCTCAAATTCATGGCAGGTTGATACATATATATATACGTCTTTAATATATATTACATATCTAACTATCCTTATGTAGTCTTTTTTCTGATTAAAAATTACAGAAAGCAATGGATATTGTTTCCACCAAATTCAACTGATAAACTTCGTCCTACAAGAGTTCCTTACGAAGAATCAACGATATACAGCAAATTTAATTTTTTTTGTCCAACAGATGAGGAAGAAGAAGCAATATTAAAGCTTTCAGGACAAGTAAAATTTATTATACTTGAAAAAGGAGACGTTTTATTTGTTCCAAAAGGTTGGTGGCACTATGTAGAATCCTTGGACTTGACTGTAAGTGTCAATATATGGTTACCTCTACAGACAGACAATAAAGCACGCCTTAAGGAAGCGCTTGTTAAATTAATTGTTAACAGAATTGGTAAAAAAGTATGTGACAATCCTGAGGAAATACATTGTTCTCTTTCTCAAAATATCAAAATAGTAAGTTTTTGGCCTAATGCATAATTATATTATAATTAAAAACTTTCAAAGTGTTTGTATTAACAGTTTTTTCTTTATTATTAGTTGGAAAACACTCTCTTAGAATGTAAACATATTGATACTGAAAAGTTATCGGATACAAAGAAAATAAAACACTTAGTATGGACTGTTGAAGATTTATCTGTAAAGTATCCTAATTTTGTGAAATTACTACATAACCTGGAGGAGTCAGAATTACAAGATTTATTAAAATATAAAAGGGAAAGATTTTTAACTAGTATTGATGAACTATCTCAAACAAATGTACCTACATCTGTGATTTCTGTAAATAAGACAGAACTATTCTCTCAATTATCAAAAGACATTGTCAATACATTTTGTCATCCTGATATTATCGATAAAGCAGCTGAATTGCTTTTAAAAACTCATTATGGAAATTAATAAAAATATTATATATAGATCAATATAATAATTTAATTATTTTGTTCAGTTTCCTTGTATAATTACTATTATCTTATTTACTATCTGTCTAAGTAAAATAATATTAATTAACAGATAGACAAAAAAGTAATAGATAAAAATATTTTTATCATAAAATTATAAAACCATTTAAATGTGGTTCAGTCATTAGCAAATCCAAATACTTTTAAACTACCAGCATCTCTTTTCCTATCGTATGTATCCTTATCGTCACAGGCATAAGCAAGTAAATATTGTTTTGGATGCCAGGCAACAGTAAATGTTGCAGCTTCAACTGGAATATCAGCTATCTTCTCTCCTGTTTCTACCTCACCTATATCTATAACTAAATCCTCTGATGCTGCTGCTAATAATTGTCCATCATAGGAAAAGGATATTGTCCTTACTGGCCATTCTAATCTCGAAAATGTTCTTAAGCAACACAATTCATCTGCATCCCATAAAGACACTAATGCATCCGCAGAGCCAGTTGCAAAATAACGTCCAGTTGGATCAAATTCTATGCATATACAAGTTCCTGGATGTGCTTTTATCACATGTAATAATTCTAATTCCGGATAGCTAAGAATATGTACACAGCCTTGTCCATTGGTTAAATAAAATGTGTCAGAATCCTTATTCCATGAGATCTCATTCACTTCAAAATTAAATTGTTCTTCGGCACGTATTTTCATAACTCTGGCATCAATGAATGTTACAAGATCCTCCTTATTACCAACGGCTATGGTATTACCATCAGGTGACCACGATATATTAATATTTTCTCCTCTGGTACTAATATTAGCAGTACATTTTTGTGTTCGCGTATCCCAAATACGAACGGTTTTATCTCCACTCGCAGTCGATAATAATTCTGGACAAAATGCGTGCCAACATAATTGATCTACGCTACCTCCGTGTCCTCTAAAAGTTATTTCTTGTTTCTATAGAAAATATTATTTATACTATGACATAATCTCTTTCTACTGTTAATATATAAATTATAAATTGTATTAATTCTTAATAATACTTACTAGTCGGTCTGGTCCAAGAGAAAATATACAAACGGATTTGTCAAAAGAACCTGAAGCCAATAATTTTCCATCGCAACTCCATCCAACACTGTGAACTTTAGCAGAATGACTTTGTTGTTCTCTAATTTTGTTATGCGATTTAAAATAATTTATCAAGTCTTCCACGCGTGGACTAGTAGTCGCCATGTTTGTTTACATACTCGTGCCTGCGAATCATAGGAATGCATTGACTCGAATCAACGAAGATCGAAATTTACCGGTCAAATTAATATAAACTAATCGATCTGAGAGTTCTAGTCAATATTAAAGAACATAAAATATTCACGATTAATATTAAATTACATGTATATATGCATATATATGTATATATATATACATGCTTAAATTCTAATCATATTGATTATATATTTGATTATATCGTAAAATGTCTTTTTAATACGTGAACGACCAATCACGAAAAATGATATAACTCGTTAGTGTTTTCAATATCAAAGACAACTCATGCGTCGAATTATACGGGTTGGTTGCCTAGGTACCATGAGGACATGTAATATGTTTTGACGTAAACAAACTTCATTTATAGAAGTTTAATTGTGCTCGAGGAAAAGTCATTTGTTTATGATAAATAATTGCTTTAATAAGCAGTAAAATGACATCACTTGATTTAAGACAACAGAAGCTTGAACAACAGGTGTGACTGAATTACATTTAAAAAATTTTTATATATATATACATATATTATGTGTGAATGTATATATGTATATATATATTTTGATAATATTGTGGTTAATGAATTACATTTTTTATTATAGAGACAATTAATTGCACAAAAAATGAAACAAAAAAGACAAAGTGGTGCTGGTGGTATGGTGCAGGCATCAAATATATCCACTACACAATTAACAAGTCATACTATGAAATGGATTAATCCTAATAAAGAACTTCATGGTAAAATTGATATTTATTATAATTGAAAATATTATTTTTATAGAATAATATGTTTATTTGGAGTTCAATTTTATAGGATACGATGGGCCTTTACAATTCACAATGTCCCAAGCAAATCCAGATATTGGAACATTTTCTGAAAATAAACCTATAGAAACAGAAATTAGTGGTAAAATTATAATTATAGTATATTATTGTTATATTATTTCTATGATTTAAATTAAATTAAAACAATAATTTATATTTTAGAAGCAAGCTCCGAAATAGCATTTTACGAAGGTACGGAAGCTAGAGAATGCGCAGATGAAGAATCATCTCCTGTAGATTTGCATTCTCCTTCAGAATCTCTGCCATGTTCTTCTCCTCTTAAAATAGCACCATCAGAAGTAACTCGTGCACTTATCAATAGAGACAATCATTCTACTGTATGTATTAACCCAATTATTATAGAATATCATTTCATAAATTTGCTTTGTATATTATTAACAAGTTATTTCTGTAAGGTCTATTATAAAATAATAATTTTCTTTAATCCAGAGTCCAGAATTAGAAGGTAATGTAGAAGGAAATATAGAACAATTTGTATTGCAACCGGCAAATAAAAAAATGCATTATAAGTGTCGTATAACACGTGATAAAAAAGGTATGGACCGTGGTCTTTACCCTACTTATTTTTTACATCTTGAACGTGATTATGGAAAAAAGGTTAGTATATTTTAGATCTATTTAATAAATAATTGAATTTTCATTATAGATGTTATTTTAGATATTTTTATTGGCCGGACGCAAGAGGAAGAAAAGTACAACAAGTAATTATTTAATTTCCACGGATCCTACAGATCTTTCAAGAGGTGGTGAATCCTATATAGGAAAATTAAGATCTAATCTCCTTGGGACACAATTTACTGTTTATGACAATGGATATTCATTAATGAAAGATTGTAAAAGAGATGAGCGTTTTAATCCACGACAAGAATTAGCCGCAGTAGTATATGACACAAACGTCTTAGGATTTAAAGGTCCACGAAAAATGACTGTTATTATACCTGGAATGACGCCTGATCAAAAACGAGTTGAAATTTGTCCACGGGATGAAACGGAAACATTGCTTGGTATATAATAAATTATTTAATCATACAATATACAAGATATTCATTTTATGATCATTTCAGAACGTTGGAAAATGAAAAATATGGATAATTTAATAGAACTACATAACAAAACTCCAGTATGGAATGACGATACGCAATCGTATGTGTTGAATTTTCATGGCCGTGTCACACAAGCATCTGTTAAAAATTTTCAAGTTGTACATGACAGTGATGGTTAGTTTAATAGAAAATAAAATTATGAAAACAATTCATATTATAAAATTTCTTAATTCTATGTATTGTTTTTTTTTTTACTTTTATTTTCAGTGGACTATGTTGTTATGCAATTTGGACGTGTAGCTGAAGATGTCTTCACTATGGATTATAGGTTCCCACTTTGTACACTTCAAGCTTTTGCGATTGCTTTAAGTAGTTTTGATAGTAAACTAGCATGCGAATAAGAGTGATATGAAAATATAAAGAGGATTAAAGAATTGGAACCAAAGTTATGAATAAAACAAAGTCACAGGAACTTTTTTCAGGACTTGCATGATATAAAAGCAATGAAGCAAATCCGTTTACATATTTCAAAATATACATGAAATGGGTTTGTTATATTTCATATATAATATTTATAATTGAAATGTGTGAAATCGGAAACGAACAAAGAAGGAAGAAATTAAACATGAATTTTGTGTATTAATGCAATAGATATTTGTGCACATTTAAAAAGTTTTAAAAAGAGATGAACTATACTACCATATTTGATATAGCATATAAGAAGAAAGATTAATCTATTAGAAATTAAATATAATAAGAATAGAAATCAATTTATGCCTTAATTCTATAATTCAATTGTGACTGGCATATATCTAAAATTATGTTGCTGTCTATATTTAAGACAAAAGCTTATAATAGACAATCAAAATTAAAATAATTCGGTGCTAATTTGATAAATATTCACCGTATAAGAGTTGGTTTTATAAAAAAGACTAAAAAAAGGAAAAAAAAAATTGTGCTAGAAAACTGTGTGTGTTCAGCTTTTCTATCTATATACACAGTATGTAATCTTTTTTTAATATCATATAACAAGTTTATACTTGTGTTCTCTTCTTTGTATTTAAGTTACAACTGAACTACTTAGTACGATATTAGATAAAATATAAAACGTGTTTCTCTCTCACATTAATTAAAATGCTAATCTTTTATAAGGATTATTAATATGATAGGGGAAAAAAAAAGAAAAAGAAAAAGAAAAAAAAAAAAAAAACAAGAACAGTTAAAATATTTGTACTACTGCCTCTCGTAAAATTTGTTTTTAAAATGAGTGTGTAACCCATAATTTATTCTAATAATCACATATATCACGAATATTGCAAGTTCTTCTAGCCATGTATCTTAGAAAATTCATAAATGAATTTCGATATATCATAGCTTTGTAAATGAAAGCACAGTAGTATTTTTTTTAATTATCTACATTAATTCTTAGTTAAGACAAAATATATATTATATGCAAGGCTTTTAATGTGTACCTGACGTACGATCTGTATAAAAAAAATAGCATCAGTTTTATATAATATTTAATATTTAATTATTTTATATATTTTAATTTTATACACACACACACACACACACACACACACACAATTTTTCATGCGTATATTTTTTTAATTCTTTTATGTCATGTCTGTTTTCATTGCATTTGTTTGATACTAATATCAAATAGCATTGCACCATGTTAATACTATAAAAGATGTAAAAGTACGTTTACTATGCAATAGACAAGAAACTAAAATACAGTACAGTGCTGCTCCATTTATCAAAACAATTATTAGAAACAAATTAGTTTGTATTTTAATGTAAATTTTGATAAATATTTTGATACAAGTGCGTAATATAACTTATATAAAATTTGGACAATAATACATCATATATTGATAGTATTTTATCTCTATCTGAAATATTTAATAAATATTAACAATAAATTGGAAAGTCATTTATTGTTTTTACAAGTATCTGTATATTTAATTATACAGTACATATATGATATATAACTACACTTAAAGTAGAATTAATGTATTAATTAATCTAATAATGGGTTCAATTTGTCTTAGTTTGTTTAAAATAAAGTATTATAATAAATAGATTCCTCTACACTGTACTGTATATTAGAATTAATAAGAATACAATGATTGTGTGATTATTTAAATTATTTGATATTGTGCCTTCATGTTCAATATATACATATACATATACATATATATATAAAAATAGTTCACATACAATTTGTACAAGACCATACATTTTATAATATAAACTAGCTTGAATAATCATATTATAAATATTAGATATTTATTATTCAATGTAATGTGTATTTTTAACTATGAAAAAATGAAAATAATCTCCTTGTTATGTTTATCTTTATGAATTTATTTCATTAGATAGAATGCAACATATGAAATCTGAAAGCAATTCATTCCAATAATCGCATAACAAAATAATATATATATATATATATACACACATACATATGTTTGTATTGAAATTAAGTGAGTTGAAATATATTTTGCAATAATAACAAACAGTATTATAAAATGAATGATCAAACAATTTTACCGAATTATAACGATATGATTATATAATGATATATCATATATTAAGAATAATTATAGTCTGTGAATAGTATATCATATTCTCTAGAAGTGTCATTTTATATATATATATAAAAAAAAAAAAAAAAAGAAAAAAAAAAGAAAAAAAAAATATCCTTTTTTGTATTACCTTTTTACATTAACAAGTTTTTTGTATCATTGTTAATTAAGGCCAAATGAGTTTTTAGTATTTATATATACAGTAATTTAAATGAGACATAAAATTATATTGTCATGAAATGTCTATTATATTGTCATGAAAAAAAAAGAAAGAAAAAAAAAAGAATGAAAAAAAAAGAAAGAAAGAATTATTCAAACATTTAGTATAATATCTAAATATCAAAAAATTTATTTTTCTCATCCGACTTTATATATAATTTTTTCTATAATGTTAATTGTGAAAAAAAAACGGAGTTTTACTATAATTATTATTTATGTATGAAGTATTTGATCATTATATCTTTGTGTAAGATTATGTAAATAAATATTTGGTGTGTGTTAAAAAAGTTTATCTTTCTTAGTACATTAACTTAATTCAGAGAAGAAAATTGTTTAGAAAGAAATAATATCAAATAGAAATGACAGTTTTCTAATAATACCTGCAATGTTTTAATCATATTATATTATATAAGAAATTCAATAATAAAAAATGATTTTGAATAAAATGTATATATACAATATTTATTATCACAAATTATGTAAAAAAACATTAGTGACATTAATTGCTTATAGCATTATTCAAGGCAGTAAAACAAATTACCTGGCCATAGTTGTTTTTCATACCATATAAGTATATATAACAAACGTTTTATTAATACAATAATACAATCAAGGCACTTAAGGTCTAGTTAGTCAATATTCAGTCACTATTTTTATCGTAAGTGAAATGATATTCAAAGTATATGAAATTTTATTAGAAAATATGTAATTATATGTATATAAATGTATAGACACACACAAATTTTGAAATTATTAATTTTAAAAATATAAACAGAAATTTAACAGTTCTCATTTATTATTTATTTTTATTATTATTACTTTTTTTTTTCTTTATTAATCGCAATAGGTTTACACATTTTCCATTTTCAATTTTAAAAGCACTCCTATCTCGCATTTTTAATTATCGAGTATACAATCTTGATGTGATATGACTTGTCAGTTTATATTTACTTATACTATATATTTTCAAGAATGTTTTTAATTTTTTAATTTGATTGGATAAAGGATCACAAGTGTATTTGTTTTTATATACATGATTCTTTACTGAAAATACTAGGACGGATATGAAAAATATGATATTTTCTGGGATACATTGTATTTGTTAAAATACAGGTTTATATATATTTATTTGAAGAATATTTTTTATTTTGCAATAATTGTAATCCTTTATCCACAAAATTATGAAGGAAATTTTAAAAAATGCGAATAAATTAAAAAAATAAACAATAATTCGTTATATCATAAAATTGGATAATTATTTCTATGTAACATATGAAACAGATTCAGTTAAATATAACAAACCTGATGTTCAAATGTAAACGTTCTCTTTTTTTTTGGCAACAGTAATATACATTTTTATTCTTTTACTTTTGAAATTATGATATTCAACTATAAGATACTTTATATTAAGATATATATCAAAGAAACTTATAAAGTAATGTACAAGTTACAAAATCTGCCATTAAAAATATATTATTTATATGTCAAATAAGTAATCATATAAAGAAAATTTAAAATTTAAAGAGATACATTAATTATTCTGGAAACACAAAAGCAATATTTATCTTGTAGATAATATAGCATGAATTATTAAAATGAAAAAAAGAAGAAAAAAAAAGCATAAATGATAATGTTTCTGTTATTTCATTATTATTATTAGTAGTAGTAATAGTATTAGCATAATCATCATTATTACTATTATTATTAATATTAATATTATTATTATTATTATTATTATTATTATTATTATTATTATGCATTGTTTATGCATTGTTTATTGTTTTCGTAAATATTTGTATAAAAAATTATCTTACTATTTCCTAATAGCAAATATAACATTTCTGTGAATGAATATGCATATAAAATCTTGTGTAAAACCGAAATTAAACGTAAATTTAATATGTGATATGTGTTATAACGATTGAGCAGGAACTGTACACTTCCTGGAAGCTCAATAATACTGAATATGTTAATATAAATTAAATGATTACCTATAATGGAAATTTTCGATATTTTGTGCACGAATGATCGCAGTAATAATTCTTGTAAAATGAAAACGCTCACACAATAATATTGCTATTGCAATTCCTTTAAATAATATTTAGTTTCACAGACACCCTTTTTTTAAATCACCTTGAGTAGTTTTTACGTTTGGCCTTACAAATCTAAAAGCTGGTATGCGCGACGGAGGTCTAGGTATACCACTTACTGTACCAACTGGTTTATTTCCAGTATTCCAGTTACTTGGCTGTCTAAGCCTAGTCTTATTTTCTGTCATATTAGTTAATTTATTTGTTGTCTGAAACAATATACAGAGTTATGATTATTATTTTGAAACAGAAAATTTGACAAATTATTAATAATTAATTAATATTTTGTTTTACCTGCTTCACAACAGCAACAGCATTTTCCTGTTCTTTTTCTTCCAAATTACCTTAAAAGATAAACAAAAATTATTTTATAAAACTCTTAATATCATAAAGTAAAATTTTATATAAAATTTTAATAAAAAATATATATAATGTTTAACTAACTTGACATTTTATGTTCTCCATTGGTGTTTATTGCTTGACTAGATCCAGTTGGACTTATTATCGGGGAACTAGTCTTAACTGTTGAATCTATACTAAGTGGTGAACTAGAATTGCTCTCAGTTTCCTCTACATTATGTTTTAAAATTGGAGATGGTAGATCCTTTAATTCATCGATCCAATTATTACGTAAAATGTGTTTCTTTGGTTTCGGTGTTGATTCGTGTTTAGAACCTACTCTCAAAACATTTAAGATATTTATTTAATTATAACCTAATAAGATACTATAGTTAAATTATTTTATATGAAAATATATTTACCCTCTTCTTGTGTATATACAATTTGATGCAATTGTTCCATATTCGTTGTACGTACATTATATGAATTATGACTACTGTCAGAACACATACTAAGTCTATCATCTAAGTCAGGAGCACTATGAGCACTTTGAGTGCTATCTATACTTTCTGTAGATCCTCCAGAATTTGGCTTTTGAAATGTTGTATTAATGTCAACATGTGGCAATCGTTGTTCCGAGCCACTTCTCAATTTTCCCAAAGAATACGGTATATTTGTCATTGGATTTGCTATAGCTTTTATTGTATTAATACATGAACCTTTCACTTGTCTCACGTTAGGTAAATATGAAAATCCAGTCGTATCAATAGTTTTTGTTGTATTTGATAAAAGATTAGGATTTGATTTTTGCAAGAATTGTGGCAGTTTAGATAATTTTTTTGGCGCATGTAATTTTTTCTTTGGGGGTTTTGAAACCGGCTTACAAAATGTTGCATCCATATTACTAGGTGGCTCTACAGTCTCTATATTGCTCTTCCCATTGATACTACTAGTTTTTTTTGTAAAAGTATAAAACTTACGACTCTGCAAATCTTTTTGTGTACATGTTACTATATTACAATCTGATAATTCATTTTTACTATTAGATTGATCTTTTGGAGATTGCTTTTTATATGTATTATATTTGTTTTCAATAGGAATATTACTTTTCTGTATAAGATTTGAATCATAAGTTACATCAATATTTTCATTTGTCTTTAACTGAGTACAAGGTTCATTATTGGAAGTATTACTATAGACAGAATGCAGCTTGTATTTCCCACTCCGTTGAATTTCTGTTAGTAATTCTCTTCTTAATGAAGGAATTTCTTCTGATGATAAACTTGTAGGGTTCATATATATTGATTGATATTGATTCGTATTCTTGTTCATACTGGTGAATGTTGAATTTAGTGGATTTTCATGTTTAGAAGAATGATTTGAATATGAAACAGGTATCTGAGGTGCCGGATTTATACAATTATTCTGTACAGGTAAAACTGTAATGTTTAAACATTGCGTGGCAGCTTCTTCCATATTAGAATCAGTATTAACGTTTTGCTCATAAGAATCAGATGTATTTGTTACCATCGCACTTTTTTTTTCCTCTTTTACATTTACACATTGATATGTAGTGTCTAGTGAGTTTTTTGTTCCATTACTTTCTGATTTTATCACTGTAACATTAAGATCACATGGATTTGTAAATGTGGAAGACAACACATTTGCACTTATTTCTTCTATCTCTGCATTCATTGACGTCAATGACATATCATTGTGAATGTCTATATTGTAAATATTATTAATATTCATTTTTTCAGTATTTCTTGGTTTACTAATAAATGTATTATTTATAGAAACTTTATCCTTATTTTTATTTTCCAAAATAGTTTTATCATTGAATTTTGATAAAAAAGTTGCTTCCAAATTAAGCTTTGGGTTTTTAGTTTTGATAAATTGACATTTATCTATCATTGGATGGGATAAATTATCTGAGTTAATAGCACAATCGTAGTCCGTGTTATATAATGTGTTATCATTAGTCAATGATGTGATAGATGAATATAAAACAGAAGGATGAGAAACATTCATTAATGTATCACCAAAATCGGGTTCGACTAAATTGATAAATGAATCAATTCCCTTTGATTGCGACATATTTAGAAAGGCTTCCATACTTTCTTGTCCAGATGTAATTAAATTATCATCAGGAACATAATGATTAGCTCCCATTGTTGCCTTTAGCATAAAAGGTACAGCGTCTTTCTTCTCATTGGTTTGGTTTTTATATGTCTGTATATTAAAAATAACACACACATATATATATATATATATATATATATATATATATATATATAATATATATATATAATATTTGGAATCAGTAACATTTTTTATTAAATCTCTAAGAATCAGAAGGATAATACTAACTAACGTATGGATTTTCTTTTTTTTTCTATGGCAGTCAAATATTATAATAATTTCTAAAACTTACATTTTGATACAAATTCTGAGCTTCTTTGTCTCGAATTTTACATGCACTTTGTAAATGAGGAGGCAATGATTCCATGATAGATTCAAAGCTCATTCTGCTATTTCGTTTTTTAGGCCTTGTAAATGTTCTCGTATCAGTAAATCTTTTATTAACTAGAATCAATGAAATATATGGGTATATCATGAGGATAAAGAAAGAGAGAGAGAAAAAAAAAAGCTGTAGAAAAAGGAATACCAGTAGGAATATTTTGTAAACTCATCTCTGAGGAATTTCTCAGCCAGGCATGTAAGTCATATATTGTAGTTTTTGATGAACATTGCACAGGTTCAGATAACCTTAAATACAAATATTCGTCATTTTTTTTTAAGCATTACTACCTTACATTTATTAATTATAACGTATAATGTAAAATTAAAAATACAAATTGTTGCTTTCGAAAATGTTCCCTTGATATATATATATAATATTCTTTTTGAAATAATAAATACTTTTCGATGGATAAAAAAACAATTCATAAAAAGGAAACAAACTTTTAATATATATATATATATATAAATAAATGTAAAAAAAAAAAAAAAAAAAAAAAAAACCATTACAGTCATACAAATTATCTTCTTTCTCTTACCATCTATCAGTGTCACTAAAATCAAAGATTGATACGTCAATTGTATCATCATATTGGATAGCAAGAGATTCATCAAGATATTGTTTTTCCACGTTCTCAATAACTTCCACTTTTCGTTCTGACATATTCTATTTCAATCACAAAGTTAAAAATATATAGGGACAGGCATTTTACTGTTATAAGCTTTCTTTACCGACGAAACGTAACCGAGTAGACAAATTTCTATAAATCACATATGTTTCTATGATGTTATTTACCGTATCATATACAATTTACAATAAATAATATAGATTCTTAAAAAATTAACATCGATATTGTTGATTGCCAACAAAAAACACACAGATATAGACGTAGGAACTTCGGTACGTTACATTTGGCTTACTTTTAGAAGACCCGCAACTCACATCCTCAAAGTACGTCTACATCGAACCACGGATGTTATGCTTTTATTGCATTTCTATGTTTCTCGATCAATCTGCCATCTATAGAGGGCTATAGTAACCTTTAAGTTTTCGAAACAATTATGGCGGCATAACCTCTAACCTTCGTTTGAAATTTAGTTGTCGAACTTGTTGACAAGTGATGTGGATTTTCTCGTAAAATTTTTATTTTTCAATTGAATCGAATATGTTCATAGTAACTAAAGAAATCGATGGAGAAAATATCAGCAAATTGTGTCGTACGTGTTTGCGAGAGGACGGTGATAAAATGGTTTGTTTGTTCGTTGGACCTGCAGGCTCTTCTCTCGCTGCCAAACTGAGATCATTATCGTGTTTAGAAGTAAATAAATATAACGTTACAATCTTCATATATATATATATATTGTTATTTCTTTATTTTGCCTTCTTTATTTTTGCCTTGTCGTAGGTTTGGCAAGGAGATGGATTACCAGAAAAGATGTGTGACAGATGTGTCACCAGAGCAGAATCTGCCCTTTTGTACAGAGAACAATGTAGAGCAGCCGATAGGGCTTTAAGACAGGCTGCTTTAAAGGTATTATATTTATTACTTTTATTTACAATTTATTTACAATTTAATAAACATTACATTTTATTTACAATTTAATAAATCATATGTTTATGTTTTATCCATTAGGTCTCTGGTTTAACTTCCTATGCAACTGTATCAGGCTGCAAACTGTATCAGCAGAGTCAAGGTTTTATGCCAGTACAAAATTCACACAAAACTTTAAAATGCATAGAATGCGGAGCTGTGTTTATGAGTTATCAAGAATTGTGTGCTCATAATAGATTGCATTTACCTTTCGTACAAGAAAATATCCCTGTAGAACATATGCACATCATAGAGTCTCAAAATACATATCTTAATTTCAGTCATTTAAATTCTAATCTCCCTAACGATAGTATACAGAATACTCAATTGTCACCATTAATTACGTCTAATGTAATGCATATGATGTCAGTTAATGAAGATGGTTCTAGTAGAGCTGCTTGCGCGCTCCATTGTTCTCTCTGTAATCATACATTTACTAATAGAACGCAATTAATATGTCATAATATAGCGCATACTACGGAAAATATAGATATATCTTGTGACAATGACAATATTGATATTTGCGAAAATTCTAATCAACTACCGCAAAATTTAAGCTACGAAAGATCCATGAATTCTGTCGATAATTCAATTGAAAATTTATCTTATCAAAGACCTAACGTGGATAATAATGAAATGCAAAATTTAAACTTTCCGGATAATATTCATCTCGATGATGTTCGAGAAAGTGGTACGCAACGTGTTCAAAATATAATGCATTCAGAAAATGATGTCACAAATGTGCATAATTTACAATTTACCAAAGCACCAAATGTTGAAACAGGTAGACATATCTTAAATAATTATCAAGCATGTTCATCCGATTCTAATTATAAGGAAAAACTTGATGCAAAGGAATTAACTAATTCGCATTCAAAAAAATACAAATGTAAATTATGCACTAAAGTATTTAGTCAAAAATCCAAATTACTTGCTCATCAAATATCTCACAGCGATCAAAGACCATATAAGTGTCACAGTTGTGAAAAAGCTTATGCATCTAAAAGTAAATTGAATGCGCATATGAGATTACATACTAAAAAGAATGTACATTTTTGCAAATTATGTAACAAAGTATTTACATATCCTTCTTATCTTGAAGAACATATGAAAACTCATAACAAGATATATAGTGATTCCAAAAAGGTATTGCAACTTGAGGGTTTCCAATGTAATACGTGTAAGAAACGATTTAGATTAATAAAAAATTTAAAAGCTCATGAAAAATTACATACTGGAAAAGATCTTGTTCAATGCGAGATATGCGATAAACGATTTAGTCAAAATTACAATTTAAAAGTACATTTACAAATGCACAAATCAATAAAGATGCATAAATGTGAATATTGTAACAAATGTTTCACTCAAAAGGGTAATTTGGTGGAACATTTAAGAATTCATACGAAGGTAAAACCATTTGAATGTAAATTATGTGGAAAAACATTTTCTCAATCAAGTCATCTTAAAAATCACGAGGCTTCGCATGTTTCCCTGAGACAACATCAATGTCGATTATGTGGGAAACGTTTTAAACTGGCGAATCATTTAAAGAGACATTTAAATCTACATACAGGAACAAAAGCATACAAGTGTGAACAATGCAATCAAATGTTTTCTCAAGCTTTTAGTTTAACTAGACATATGAAGAGGCACAGTGATTCACATATTTAATTATAATATAAAAAGAAATTTTTATAAAATACATCAGATAATATAATATATCATTCCTTTAAATGTATATGTAAAATAATCTTCGTATTATAAATAATCATCGTAAAAAAAAAAAAAAAAAAAAAAAAAAAAGAAAAAAAAGATAAAAACAATTACAACAATTTTGGTAATAATTTTGGTAATTCTTATTGATATAATGCAATTATTTTTCATTTTTAATTGTACAACCTATTTATAATTTTTTAGCGTCGTCGTAAGAATATGTATACCTTCTTCAAGTTGATCTTTGGTAATAGTCAATGGTGGTGATATTCTGATAATCTGTCCATGTGCTGGTCTTGTTAATAAACCCGCATCACGTAATTTCAAACAAATATCCCAACCTGAGGCGAAATCTACGAAAAAAAAAAAACATAAATTATGATCGTTTTAAAATTGTATGTTTAAATATTGAATAGCTGATACACGAATAATATATTAAAATATTGTTTAAAATAAGTTTTAACTGTGCATTAGATTTTTTTATATCATTGCACCGTATGAACGTAAATCGTTTAGTTTAATAAATCTAAGTTAATATCGTCTAAGTTAATAAGTTTTTAATGAATACAAATTCTACCATATCTTATTTTATTAATTGCCATATATTTTTAAACAATAGATGAAGAGGGTATACCTTTATTGATAATAAGTCCGGCTAACAAACCACGTCCTCTGAATTCCACAGCAATATCTTTTGGTAATTTACTCAATTCATTTTTTAATACTTCGCCCAATTTCCTAGCATTCTCGGCAAGATTTTCTTCTTCCAAGATTTTAACTGCTTCCAAAGCAACTCTATTCCCTAAAGGACTACCGCCGAAAGTGCTACCATGACAACCCGCTTCAAAACACATCATTATCTGTAATAAATTATTACTGATACGTGTGTGTGCACATTTTCATATAAATAATATCGAATAATTTTTAAGGATGCAGATGTTAGACAAAAAAAAAATATTTTTCTTAACGTCTAAGAAAATCGTTAACATTTATAATCATTATGTTATTTGTCTTATAAATTTATATACCTCATCGTTCGCCAAGACACCAGAAACTGGATACATCCCACCAGAAAGTGCTTTTCCTAAAATCAAAATATCTGCTTTTTGATTTTCATGATCGATCGCCATACGTTTCCCAGTTCGACATAATCCAGTCTGCACTTCGTCCGCGATCCATAAAACGTTATATTTCGTACACAAATCTCTAACACCTTTTAGATATCCATCCTGTAGAAAGTGAAATAATCGAATAATCGAAATTAAACATTTCAATGTTTTAGAATAGCTTTAAAAATTTTTATGGATAGAGATGAGCTTTTAAAAATGATAATTATTCGCAACCTACTCTCTAAAATATAATCAATATCGAATGTTGTTCGATAAACAATTCAAAATTGATTTGATATAAATCTGCGAGTTGAAAAAAAACTTAAATAAAAAATAAATAATTCTCGCGTGATCTATTAATCGAATCAATTTTGTATTATCATATTTTGTATTTAATTTCATAAAAACGAAATAACGTTTGACATACGTTCGGAATAATGACGCCAGCTTCTCCTTGAATCGGTTCCATCATGAATGCGCAAACGTTCGGATCTTCTTTAAATTTTGCTTCGAGAGCGGTTAAATCATTATAGGGTACTTTATCGAATAGTGGCATGTACGGACCAAAATCATTGTAACAATTAGGATCGGTCGATGACGACAATGCTGCTAACGATCTGCCCCAAAAATTATCTTTAGCAAACACAATCGTTGCCTTTTGGCTTGGTATTTTTTTTATTCTATATCCCCAACGTCTGGCCAATTTTATAGCCGTATCTCCACCTTCAACTCCTAATAAATATTTAGAAATGTTACATTAAGAAGTTTCCAATGTAACGTTGCAACAAATCTCACTTGAATTAATATAGTTTTATATTAAATAATTAATTAATATTATGATAATATAATTTTTATAAAAAAAGACAATCATTTTTGTTACCTGTATTCATAGGTATGAATCTATCGTAGCCAATTAATTTCGTTAAATATTCTCCTAATTCACCGTGCGGTTCCGTATAAAAAGCTCTTGCAGTGTGAGTCAATTTTTCTGCCTGTTCCTTCATGACTTTGACCAAACGTGGATGACAATGACCTTGACTGACGGTCGAGAAACCAGCTAAAAAGTCGAGATAACGTTTCCCATTATTGTCCCATAAAAAAACTCCATCACCTTTGGTTAATACCACAGGTAGGGCCTTGAAGTGTCTTGCAGCGTATTTATCATCTCGCTCGATTATTTCCTGAGTGCTCAGATACTTTTTTTTTTGATCGTACATCTTCTTCGTTACATTGAGAATTCTTTGTCTAAGAGATTGCATTTTTTTTCTTTTTCTTTTTCTTTTTTTTTCAACACATATAATCGAATATCAATATGATAAATTACTGTAACCCTGGTTTCAATTATTAAAAATATATTAATATTAATGAAAAGTGATTAGAGAGAATATATATATATATATATATACATATACATATATATCAACTAGAAATACAGCGAGATACTTTCTAACGAAACACGTAAAATGTACCATCATTTATAGCAATGTGGACGATATAAGTGGGGGAAACTTATTTACTCCTAACTTGTTTGTATACAAAGTTGTGCAAAGGGGATTTAAAATAAATACCACATCGATGTACGTATGTATTCAAAAGTCGCTGATAATGGGCCTTTGTGTTTGTTAAGGCGCCAATGTTCTAAAGTAAACTCATAATTACAAACAATATAATCTTATACGTTAAAATCGTTCAATGTCACAATTGATAAATAAGAACTGTATAATATATGTTAAATCGATCGATCATTAAAATGTGTTTATATCGATCGAATGAAAAAGAAAACAAGAAAAAATGAGAAGAAAACAAAAAAAAGAGAAAAAAAAGCATTAAGTACAATTAATTTATAATTATAAAAGAAACGTGATCGATTAAAAATAATGATTAGAAATTAAACATTCTGTTCAATGTACGATTTTATAAAATCACATGTTTTTTCAATTGTCTCCGGGCAATATATTGAAGATTTTTCGAAAGAAATATGCTAATAATGTAATGAGATATTTTTCCAAACGGAATGACGATAACATAGCTTTTTATGACTTTTTACAATCCGATATTTAATTTTCTTTATCTCTTATCAGTCATTCTTCCCTCAAGTCATAAGTATTTAAGCAAGTGTAACTATGGAGGTAAATCATATTAAGAATGTTAACGCGTTCTTGTCATATAATGATTATTGTTACAAAGAAAAAAAAAAAAAAGGAAAAAAAACAAATTGTATGAATTACTTTGCAAAATATCCCAATGTATATAAATAAATAAATATATATATATGTGTGTGTTAAGATTCTCTCTCTTTCTTTTTTTTTTTTATATATTAGTAACTACAAACAGGCAAGAGTACAAAGCTATCAGTTTCATAATGAGTTTTCTTATCTCGTACGAGTTATTAATACATTGGAATATAGTAATCTAATATGCGCTTTAATTTAACGCTATTTATGTATTACATCGTGCTTCGTCAATAATGCAAAAATATACTTGGATATATATATATATATATATATATATATATATATATATGTATATATATACAACCAATGCATTTTCTTAAAGATTATAATACAAATATGATGTATAACTACGATATAATTATTCATCGTTAATAAATGAATTATCATTAAAGCGATTAGAATCTGATAAGTATATATTTGGTGTTGCACGATGGAGCGTTGACATATATGACGAAATACACTTGAGATAATAATCGAGACATCGTTAAGAAAGGAAACTTTTGTATAATACATCTCTTATACGGTGATAAGGAGTAACTGTTCATTAAATGATTAATGAAATTAAATGCAAAAGAAAAGAAATTTATTTTATAGAACTATATCATAAATATATAACATATGTATAATATGCACTCTCATGGCATATGTGTGTGAACGCTTATATAAAAGATATTTTATAAAATTTTATTTTATAAATTTCAATATCGTTCGTGAAATAATATCCGCGCACTCTCTTATCTGAGATTCAGTAATAACTAAAGGTGGAGCAAGTCTAATAATATGACCGTGCGTTGGTTTTGCCAAAAGACCTTCATCCTTCAATTTTATACATACATCCATAGCATTGATCTTTTCATTGATAACGATAGCATTCAAAAGTCCCTTTCCTCTGACCAACGTGATAATATCTTTTGGAAGTTTTTCAAGTTCGTTCCTTAAAATCGGACCAAGCTTATCGGCATTGTCAGCTAATTTTTCTTCCTCAAGAACTCGTAATGCCTCGAGAGCAATTTTGCAACCCAAAGGATTACCACCGTATGTCGACCCATGTTCGCCAGGCTTTATGGTTAACATTATAGGATCATTGGCTAAGACTCCGGATACCGGATAAAAGCCACCGGATAATGCCTTTCCAAGTATTAAAATATCAGGCTTAACATTCTCGTGATCAACGGCCAATCGTTTCCCTGTTCTTCCCAATCCCGTTTGAACTTCATCGGCTATCCATAAAACGTTGTATTTTGTACAAAGCTCTCTAACGCCCTTCAGATAACCGTTCTTCGAGAGAATAAGAAAAAGAGAGAGAGAGAGAGAGACAGAGAGAGAAAAAAATAAATAATAAATAAAGACACAAATTAAAATATACACAAGGATCATCGTCACTTTGACAATATTTCTTTCTTTTTATTCTCTTACCCGTGGTACTACTACTCCTGCTTCACCTTGAATAGGTTCGACCATGAAGGCACAAACGTTTGGATCGGCAAGTGCTTTTTCAAGAGCAACCAGATCATCATACGGTACCAGCTCAAAACCCGGCATAAATGGACCGAAACCACTGTAACTACTTGGATCGGTACTTGAGGATAAAGCACTCATTGTTCTTCCCCAAAAGTTACCTTCAGCGAATATTATTTTTCCTTGATATTGCGGTATATTTTTTCTCGTGTATCCCCATCTTCGTGCTAATTTACAAGCCGTCTCACCTCCTTCTACTCCAGTGTTCATTGGCAACCATTTGTCATATCTATAATTAAAATAAATAAATAAATATATATATATATATATATATATTATTATTATTTTTGATCTATTAAATTTAATATACGTACCCAAACAATTTAGTTATATATTCTTCGAATTCACCTAAAACATCTGTATAAAAAGCTCTCGAACTTAGTGTTAAGATCTTCGCTTGTTTCATCATAGTTTCGTAAATCCTCGGATGGCAATGACCTTGATTGACAGCTGAATAAGCACTTAAAAAATCATAATACCTTTTCCCTTCGACATCCCACATGTATACTCCTTCGGCTTTACAAAGTGCTACTTCAAGAGGATGATAATTATGTGCACCGTATTTCGATTCCCGTTCATATACTTGCTGTGATGTAATACTTCTGGGATATTGTAATTTCTGCAAAATAATTACGTATATTTTTTTGATATTATTCGTAAGATATTTTTTTCTTTTTTTCTTTTTTTTTGTTTTTTTTTTTGCTTCTTTTCTCTCTCCTCTTTTTATTCGAAACTTCAATTTCAAGGTCGAAATATAAGGAAATATAATTAACTTACTTGTTTACGAATTTTTAACAGATTAGATTGTGAAGTAAAACGAAGATTTCCGAGTATCATTCGTGTCAGAGATTCCATTGTTACTTGATTTTATTTAAAGAGATATATTCACGGATGGAATAACTGTAATCAGAAACAATAGAGAAGTTATAGAGCGTAAAAATAGTTTCTTCTTCTTCTTCTTCTTCTTTTTCTTCTTCTTCTTCTTTCTTTTCTCTCACTCTCTCTCTCTTTCTCTCTATCTCTCTCTCTCTCCTGTAACGAATAAATCGAAAAATACAATACTATGTTTAAGATCTATTGTATATAATATTTTATAATTATTCTTCGTTTATCGGAATTTATTCGATTCGTCTATCGAATAATAAACTAAGTAAAAAATTAAATTTAAATTGGGCGAATAAATATATTCAAAAATACCTTCGTATTGTCTATTAAAAATATATCAAAGTAATTCGTAAATGATGGACGATATAAATGTGATTGTAACACAGAACAATATCTCAATCGAATTAAATCAAATTGAATACTTTTGTACGATCGTTAAAATCTCATTAAATATAACGTTCTCAAAGGATAGAAATGAACTGTCGTGTGTTAGTATTTATAGTGATCGCTACTTCTCAAATCATTTACCCGTCTCACACGTCATATGATAGATAAGAAAATGTGCTTCAGTTCTTGTAGATAATAGTTAAAAGGTGAACTTTCTTGAAAGTTCAAAGATCTTTAACGTCGTTCTATAAATTTTAATTAAAATCTCTCTCTCTCTCTCTCTCTCTCTCGCATTTTGAAATATTATGTATATGCACTTATCATTTTGCATGCATTCTATATATAAAACGTTCATATCGTTCTTTTACTAATAATAACTAAATATAAATATATATACATATATATATATATATATATATATATAGATTTATTTATATATTCTTTTTATTTATTTATTTATTTATTAGGAAAAAAATTTTAAGGAGTCAAGCTAATATTTATTATATTTTTTTTAGCTTATCGATTAATTGATAACATTGATGTTAAAATCGATATAATTTTTTATTTAAAAAACAAAAGAAAAAAAAGTAAAAAGTAAATTCAACGTGAAGTATATGCATTTATCGAATGTAATCACGCGCGCGCATACACACATCCAAATCATATACATCGATTATTTCATTTATTTTACCGCGAATTTTATAATATAAATTCACTGATATAATTTAACTTAATTTATAAATTATATATATATATTTATATATGTACATATATATATATAGGTATATATACGTCGTAATGCATCGAAATGCATCTTAATTGTAAATACATTTATAACAAATTGTTCGTACTAATAAATAATAAATTATAAATGAAAATAATCACGTAAAATAAGGAGCACACCACATTTGATTAACTTGAAGTTGTAAACCAATCATTTAATCTTCGTTATTCACTGTGAAGTCATTGGCATACTCGTTAACGCGTAAATATTTGAATGGACCAATAAACATACGCGCTGCTTTAGTTGTACAAAATTCAAATATCATTTATTTTATAATTGCATTAACAAAATTATGTACATTTTTTTTAAGTATTTAATAATTATTTTCAATTCGATAATTAGATTGAATATCCAATAATTAGGTTAAACATTAATCTCTATTGTCAGTTTATTCAAATTACAAAAGTATACTCGTTAGATTGTAAATAAAATTAACATCCTATTGGCTGAATTTATTGACCATTTATGAAAAGAAATCATTAGGATATCTAGTATTATTTGGTGATATTTTATTGGTATTTCTCGTATTTCTTTTCATTCAAATAATTTAAATAATGCGGAACAGTTAAAAAGTGCTACTTGCTTTGAAGATAGGTGAGAGAGAGTTATATTAAACAATAAATTTACTATAAATATTTAGTTTATATGAAACATGAGCGATAACGATTATGATACACTTCGTCAAAAAAATATTGCTGAAAGGAATGCCATTGTAAGTAAAGACATCCTTTTTTCTATAATGTTATTTAACCCAAAGCTAAAACATTGATAAATTTCAATTATTGTATATTTATTTTTTGTCAACAATTACATTTCTAATAATTAATTTCTTTCCTTCAAGTTTGCAGAATTTTTCAAGGAAGTAAATAAATTAAAAGCCGAAGAGAAGAATTTACAAGAAGCACAAAAAGAAAAGGAGAATATTGAAAATGAACCACCCAGAAAAAAACGAAGGATAAGTCACAACAAAGACAATGATAATGATTTTAAAAATAGTAAACGATTACCATTACGTAAACGATATAATACCAGAAGCACAGCTAAATATTCTACAAGTGATGAATTAAATGATTCTGATAATTATGAAAATAGTAGTAATGTACCTAGAAGGAACAGAGCAAAACTAAAAGTTTTGTTTCCCTGGGCAAAACCATTCCAAAGGAGTATTGATCTAATGAAAATGAGAGTATGTGATATTGATGAGAAGGAAGAAGAAAATGATGATGACGATGATGATTATGATTATGATAATAATCTATCAGATGAATCTTTTAGCAATAAAAAATATTCCAAGGTATCAAAGTCTCCATATGATCCTAATAGCATACCATCGGTTGATAAGATAACACAGGAAATGTTAGATAATGTGGCAAAACGAAGTACACTAAAAAAATATTGTAAAATATATGGTACAAGTTGTCATCAATGTAGACAAAAAACTCTGGATACAAAAACAGTTTGTAGATCAGGAGAATGTATTGGTATAAGAGGCCAATTTTGTGGGCCTTGCTTACAAGGAAGATATGGAGAAAGTGCAGTCGAAGCCTTACAAGATCCAGTAAATTGAATGCACTTTCTATTGTGTGAAATAGGATAAATATGTACATGGTTATGTGCGTATATATACATAATTTTTTTTTTTTTTTTTTTTTTAGAACTGGGCCTGTCCTCCTTGCAGAGATTTATGTAATTGTAGTATATGTAGGACAAGGAATGGTTTACGACCAACAGGAATTTTAGCTCCTGTAGCACAAGAAGGAGGATATTCATCGGTGATGGATTATTTACAATCTGTTGAAGATGATACATAACTTATTTTCATAGAATATAAAAAAAATTGAATGAAATATTAATTTCACATATTATGTATTTTTTGATAAAGTAATGCTCGTTTATATAAACATAGTATTTCTTTTATATATTGCTGTCTACCAATTTCTTTAATTTTTATTTTACAAAGATAATTTCTAAAAGAAATTCATTTTATAGCAACAATGGCATATTGTCTTGGTGATAAAACAGGATTAAACAAGCGTAAAATAACAGTTTTCGAACATTGCTTACTGTTCTGTAAATATATTACTCTGTCTAATATAATTGCTGCCTCTAATACCGGACTTATATATATACGTAATATTTGGAAAAGATCCAATTTTAATTTAAAATGTATATGAGACCGGTACAATTCTTCTAAAATTTCAGTCGATGGTATCTAAAAAAAAAAAAATAGAGAAGAAAAGAAAAAAAAAGAAAAAAAAAATGTTTCTTAACAAATTTACTACTATAGTAAATAATGGTAAATTACTGATACTCCTCTATTCCTTACTTTTTTGGCATCTATACCAATTTTCAATAATGCCCATTTTGCATAAGTTGGAAAATCACACAATGGTCCCCCACGTCCTATTCTTACATCATATAAACCTGAAAACATCCATTTATTATTATTTAAGGAAAATAGATTACTTATACATAAAATTAATTAAATTTACCCATAGAATGTAAAAGTACTTGTAACAATGCTCTGTAGAATAATGATGGTGACAATGATTTGGCTTCTTTTGTTCGTTCTATACATTGTTGTGCCAACATTCTGGCATTTCTCGAAAAATTAATCCTTTTGGTAAATGATTCGTTTACTAAATGATAACAACATGATACAACACAAATTACTTTAAAGTTATCATTCTGTAGAAAGACTTTCATAAGAGAATGTGCTAAAGATCCACATGTATGTAATCCAGTTAGAATCAAGTTACTTTTTAAATTCCAATTTGGAAAATGTTTGTTCACCATTGTATTGTAATCTGTGTTATCGTCAATTTTAGTAACTACATATTTAACCTAGAAATAATATACGCTAATAATGATTGTAAGAACATAAAAAATAATCTATTTATATTTATTTAGTATACCAAAGATGAAGTTTGTTTTCCCATTTTTTTCATTTTTTCTGCTCTATAAATGGCTCCTTTATGACATAAGTCTGATGAATCAATTGCAAGTACAGGTAGTCTATAACTTTCTGCTAAATATGTTGATAAATAAGCTTTTCCAGCACCAGCATCTATTACTAAACTTCTAGTTGAATTTGCTATATGTCCAACAACATGGCCAAGAGCTTCCACCTCGTGAAACTTTTTTTTACTCATGAATCCTTTATCTTCATTTTTTATTTCATTAAATTTCCATTTGTCATTATCTAGACTTAAAAATTGTGGAATATCTTTAAAATCCAATATCATTGGACATGCTTGCAAAGACAATAACTTTGTAACTTTTATAAATTCGTTTAATCGAGTAACCGTTTCATTTTCCTTCCAAATATCATTGATTGTTTTAACATTCTCAAGTTCTAATTTTAATAATTCAGGTAAACATTTGTCCCATAATTTTTCATTAATAAAGTCAACTAAATGACAATCAATGAGTTGTTCATATAGATTTAAAAAATCTATAACCTTATGGAAATGTTCTATATATTGAATCATTTTATAAATAAATTCTTTACAATTGGTGTAGTTGTATATATATATAAATATATACAAAATATATATATATATATATATATATATATATAAAGAAATTAAGATTCAAAATTCAAGTTTGTTAGCTTCAGGATATACAGGATTTAATTTTGCTAAAGAGCAAAATTTAACATACTTGAATTTAATATTTTCTAAAGTCTTTAAAATATCTGTAGTATCGTCGTTATGTTTAGGAAAATGATGAATATTATCTAAAATTTCATTGGCCAACGATATAACCTTCTCATTAGCAGTTTTATTACTATGAAGATACTGCTCTATAACACCACAATAATATCCTAATTGAGCAGCTACTAAACTAGCTCTATGATATCCAAGATGATATCCTTTCAATAATCTGTTTTGACCACTTTCATATCCATCTGTGTAACCAGATTTCTGCGCTTGCTCTTCCGCGAATAATAGATTTTCAAAAACTTGATTAACATCAAAGTCCTCCTTTCTTTCAGACATAATTGCGTCTTATCTGAAAAATAATTAATTAAATTATATAAACATTTCAAATTGTTCTCCCATCGAAAATGATAATTAGTTTACATTACATACTTTATATATAAAATATTATATTTTATAATATAATAATAATTGCTCTGTATTTTATAAAAGGTAACATTAACGGATAGAAAATCTTTTTGTTCATATTACAAATTTAAAAAATATTCAAATCTTAATATTTTAATGTAAAGGTGAAAAGAAAAATGTAAATAATGTTTCAAAGAATTTTAGGTTAGCGGCTTCTTCGCTAATCACCTTACTTACGAATTTCCTTCGCCATCGAAGTGCATTGGCCGACATATTTGAACGGTCACATTGGCCAATCATATCATCCGAAAATCATCGTTCTTCACGTCGATGTCATATCTGTATTTTTATTTAGGTTATAATTCGAACGTATTATTATAACCACAGGCTTTTCTCATAACCATAGTTACATTTTCATAGTAAAAATAATAATTTTAACGGTTCAATTTTCAACATCAAGAATTAAATTTGTAGGCGTGCTGAGTAATTGAGAAGTAAAGAGATACAACCAACTTCAGAGGCGTGTCATGTTTGCAAGTAACGCGGCGTTATTGTTCGTACTATTCTTGAAGAATTTGTAGGTATAAAATTTATAATCAAAATGCTTGCGTTAGGCCCAAAAAAGGATGGAGGACCCAATGCCAAATTTTTTGATTCTGCGGAAATTCTCGCACAACTTGATGGGGTTAAACAGTGGCTCCTGAAAAATTGCAAAAAGGTATGTACATATAGTTGGCGTCGAATTCATTAGGAAACATTTTATATATGTCTTACAATGCTATTAATTTTCTTTTAGTTTTTTTTGTTAATTTATAGTCAAACATGTATTTTGATATTTTATCTTTTATTTTTATGTCTTAGATTCCAAACTTATGTACTTTGATGCCATATTTTTCTAATTGTTTCAGTATGCATATGCACATGTGCTAACTTACTCTTTCCATAGTTTCATATGATTAAATTATACTTTCTGCGATTCAAGTTTCAAATCTTAAATTGTTATAATTATATCTTATCATATGATATTTAATATCGCATAGAATGACTTCATACGACAAGATTGTACAAATTATGTTAACTATCATAAAGTTTTTAAAGTCAATTTTGTACAGTTGTATTTATCAATATTTCTTGCAGTATGTACAAACAGATCCTCCTACTAACAAAACCTTAGCAACTTTAGTGGTACAATTACTTCAATTTCAAGAGGATAACTTAGGAAAAAATGTAACTAAACCACCTATGACAAGACTTCCAGTATGTATAATATATTACTTATTATAATTCAAATTACATATATATATATATATATAAAAGTAACAATATATATATGTATGTATATATACATTGTACAGACAAGGTAATAATTATTTTCTCTAGATGAAATGTTTCTTAGACTTTAAACCTGGAGGAGGTTTGTGTCATATACTATCCACTGCTTATCGATTTAAGCAAGAACAAGGATGGCGGAGATTTGACTTTCCAGTTGGAAAGGTATTATTTTAGATATAAATTTTTATATGTTAAAGTTATTTCTAAATTTTAAAAGTATATATTATTTTACATAAGATATATTTTATATCTGATAGTACAATATAATATTATTTTTTTTATTTCTTTCTTTTTTTTTTTTTTTTTTTTTTTTTTTTTTTTTTTTTTTTTTTTTTCTTTTTTTAATTATCCCTGTATAGTCAGGATCTCGTATGGATCGTATAGTAGAAATGTTAATGGCAGCAGAGCGTGCTTTAACTCAAAATAGATGTTTGACTATACCAAGCGTTTTTGTAAGAGCTGACGTCGATAAATCAACAGCTACAAAAGTAAAAGAAGCAGTAAGACGACATCAAGGCACAGTTGTTGAAAATGAAGCAGATGCTACACATATTATTTTTCCACCAGTAGATCCAATGGAAGAAGAATGTGCACGACCATGTATGAGACGTGAAAGATCGGTTCTTCTTCATTGGTACTACTTCCCAGATAGTTATGACTCTTGGACTACTCTAGATCTTCCTTGGGAATTTCCTGAAGGAACTCTTAATATTACAAGTACAAGGTAAAATTAATACATCGTTCGTTTATAATTTCTTTTATAATTTGACTCAATTAATTATCTTACAAGACTTAACATATATTTTTAGATCGGTATATAAGGTATCGGCAACTTGGGCGCTTGATTTAGATCAATATAATGAATGGATGAATGAAGAAGATTATGAGGTAGATGATAGTGGACAAAAGAAAGTTCACAAATATAGACTTTTAGTAGAAGATTTGATGGCACAACCTGCTCACCCACCACCGGGAAAAAAGCCAAAAAGAAAAAGATCACCTAGTCCCCCACCAAAAGTTGGAAAACGCAAAAGGTTTGTGTTGCATATAATGACATTGTAGAATGCTTATATATTATAAATGGAAAAAGATAGAATTCAAATGTAGCACACTATGATGTTTAAATATAATATGTTCAGTAGCAGGGCTCCATCAAATATACAAAGCACTTCATCAACTTCTTCGGCAGCTACTCCAAAAAAATCACGCGGTGGTGGGGACGAAGAAGAAGATCTTACTCAAGGGATGGAAGATCCACCAGCGGAACCTCGGATTGTAGAGGTTGTTGCTGCTCCTGCTAATCCACCGGTTACAGGTCAAAGTAGTAATGCAACTACAAGTAGTAGTTTGGCATCAACTGGAAATAAAAAACAAGATAATGAACTACAACCTCTTAAATCCGGTAATATGGCAGATTTGGATGAACCAATGGAAGGTTTGTAAAATAAAATCCTTTTAACATAATATACTTTGTTCTTTGACATAAATTGTTATATTTGAAAATACAAATCCATTGACTTAGGTGATAAAGGAAGTTCTCAGGGTACTCAAGATAGAGAGGAAAGAGATACAAGCAAAGAAAGAGGAGAAGGAGGCAAAGGAGATGAGCCAGAAGATAATGTTACGGAACAGACACAT